CCCAATTTCAAAGCAGTATATTTCACGATGGCAACATGTTACAATTACACAGAATGTTACCAACGCTTTAATGAGTTATTAAGTTTTACTAACCATTTTATAAATGCTCTATGTGCCCTCCACCTGCTGTACGGACAACATCGAGACGATAGTTGAATTCGTCCCAAACGCCTCTCAAAGTGTCTTCTTCCACTGAAGTCACCGCAGCCGTGATTCTGTTTTTGAGGTCATCCAGATTAGTCGCTAATGGTGGCACAAAAACACCACGGTCTTTGATGTATCCCCACAAGAACAAGTCGCAGGGTGTGGTGATGTCTGTGGGTGATCTTGGGGGTAGCGCCAGGTCTTGGGGTCCCGTGCGACCTGTCCAACGTTGAGGCAGTGTTGTCTTGCGAATGACTGAGGCTAGGGGCTGTTTGTGCGCTGGGAGAGGCATCTAGCAGTTATCATTTGAAACTCTATGCCCCACCCTTTCAAGTGGTAAGAGTTTCATTCATGGGCGGTTCGTGGTTGCTGAGATATAGCGATTTAAAAATCGGTCCAACTTATTCAAACACCCTGTATAACACTGACAGGAGCGCGTGGATTACACGTGGATTACACGAGAGAAACACGTGGCTTAGAGAACATACGCAGGTTAAAGACGCTATCCAACTCTGAAGGAAAGTCAGCTGACTTGGGCAGGACACGGTACTGAAAGGGATGCTGGCCGACGCTCAAGAAAAGTGACGGAATAGCAGCCAAGGAATGGAACGCGTCCTAGAGGACGTACACCGGGGAGATGGCACGATGGAATCAGCCCACAGGTGCTGGGTGGATTACATGGCAGGATCGTGAGAGGTGGCGGCTGTTGACGGGTGGCCTTCATTCATCAGTGCATTGATCATGGCTGATGAGGATGATGCGATCTTCCACGAAGCTGATGGTCCACCCTAAACCACAACCATGGCAGATGCGGATACCTGATGCACAAATGGAAAATAAAAAAAAAAACCTCTCCAGGGTAGTGTGCGACTGTGGTCACCCAGAACAGGCCGTACAACGTATAACGACGCAAATCCCCGATCCACAAATACGAGGGAGCCATCGCAGTGATGCACTCCGCTCCTCCTCATGAGGTTCTCTGGCTTGACCACCTGAGTGTGAAATTGCAGTCGTTGCTCTGCATCTACATGAGCAGCTGTACAAAAGAAGATGATTTAAATGTAAAGCTTTCGTGACTGCAAGGATTCATCTTCTTTGGTTCTTTCGGTAAAGTCACGTAGAATGAGAATAAAATAATAAATTGATAAAATAAAATAACACAATAATATTCTCACGACGTGTCTGGAGGACAGCGCTGTCCTCCAGACAGTCTCGTCCCTTCACCTGATGAAGGCCGCTTGTGTTGTGGCCGAAACGTCGTGAGAATATTATTGTGTTATTTTATTTTATCAATTTATTATTTTATTCTCATTCTACGTGACTTTACCAAAAGAACCAAAGAAGAAGATGATTTTACATTTAATATTGTGTTTAGGATATAAGTGATTACCCCTACCTCGTTTAAAAGATGTTGACATTACAAGCGTATTCATGTAGTGGTGGTTCTCATACCACCTAAGGTTAGAATGTTTTCATTTAACTTGATTCTACCGTGAGTGTTAACGCAGATAAATCACTATCCTTCCACATGCGTATTACATTGTTAAAATTACTTGTAAAATATGAAGCATTACTTATATTCATCTTCAGAATATTTATTTAGACTGCTGGAGGAATCCGGTGAGCTTACGGAGCTCTTTTTCACAGATGTCCAGTAGTGGCACGGGGTCAGAACGTTACAATAACAAATAAAACAACAACACGATAGGAGTGCAAAGAAATATATGCAAATAAAACGAAACTATGTTTTTTCTTACCAGTCCCACTCCCAAACGGTTTCATTGAAAAAACGACCCTGTTGTTTCACTGAGAACTATCTGCTTCTGGTCTTTATCAACCAAGTAAGTGATCAATAAACTTATCAGGCTGTAGGCAGAGAGAGCCGAGGGGGTGTGTGAACTGTGCTCCCATCAGTCAAAGTCGACCCTCGACGTGTCTCTTGCTCGTGCCACTTATTGCCTCGATGTTGATCAATGGGCAATGTTTGCACTGGTGCTTTTCCAGCTGAAATGTCATTTACAGAGCAATTCAGAACGTATTGGTCATCCCCGTGCCCCTTATAAATATCAACGTTCATCCTACAAAGTTCCATAACACGGGAGAAACACAAAAAAATAGACACCACTTATGTTGCTGAATAAAAACATGTTTTGATATATTAATGATGATGAATGGTGTCAATGATGTTACTTATCATGCTACTGTACGTGGTCTTGTACGCTGCTGCTTGATATGTGGATGCACATACTCGTGTTGTTAATGTACAACAATAAAATTACGGAGGGTTAAACAATACACTTTTTCAAGGGTTTTATTTAACTTGACTCCTGTTTGTCGCGGTCAAATCTTGTAATCAAATTTTAGTCCACTTCCCGTTGTCCAATCAATTCGAAATTCTGCACACGTACTCAGATCCAGTGACAACGCATGCCTGTATCAAAATCGGCATCAATTCGTCAATTAATTGGCTCCTTTCAAGCAATTACAATTTTAGTATGGACGGCTTATTATTGATATATTTGTGTGTAGGTCAAAAACGGCGCGGTCCATAAGGTGTGGAATCGGCTCGCACAAAAAGCAGGCGCCACGCGTCGCAGTACGTCACTGCTTCATGTGAACGAGTAGTACATTGAACATTCATTCATAGAATAACCAATTATTAGAGGTAAGCGTTGATTTGGGAGCAGGCGCCGCATCATTGACGTACTTCTCGAGGGTGAGTTAAACGAAGTTGTTAATAAAACCGTTGTTTAAAAAAAAAAACAATTAAAGGAGTTTATTTAATTTGGCCGTATGATTGTTTTGTTGTGCCCGTATTGAAACGGCTGTGCGCCGGATGAACCCTGAAAACTCAATTTCCCTGTACAAGAAAACGGGGTAAAGGGTTTGGGTTGACAGCTGTGAATTCAGTACATCGCTGAACCTGGCTAAAACAACAAGAGTCACGTCCAGCAGAAGCACGGCGAGGCGGGCGGTAGTAAATACCTGGTTACTAATACGAATAATGAGCTAAGGCAGGAGGAGGGAGGCGTGTATTCGAGAGCGTAAGCGGGTTAAAGACGCGTACAGCGCTGTTGTAATTCCGCCTGGAACAGAAACGTGAGTTGTGGGCTTGTGGCAGGATTCCTCTGGTCGCTTGAAGCGACGATTGATGGCTGATGGCCAGAGAAATCACAACACAGGCTATACACCATGGCTGATAGCCAGAGAAATCACAATACAGGTTACACACCATGGCTGATGGCCAGAGAAATCACAACCCAGGTTATACACCATGGCTGATAGCCAGAGCAATCACAATACAGGCTATACACCATGGCTGATGGCCAGAGAAATCACAACACAGGCTATACACCATGGCTGATAGCCAGAGCAATCACAACACAGGTTATACACCATGGCTGATGGCCAGAGAAATCACAACACAGGCTACACAACATGACTGATGGCCAGAGCAATCACAATACAGGTTACACACCATGGCTGATGTCCAGAGCAATCACAATACAGGTTACACACCATGGCTGATGTCCAGAGCAATCACAATACAGGCTACACACCATGGCTGATGTCCAGAGCAATCACAACACAGGCTATACACCATGGCTGATGGCCAGAGCAATCACAATACAGGTTACACACCATGGCTGATGGCCAGAGAAATCACAACACAGGTTATACACCATGGCTGATGTCCAGAGCAATCACAATACAGGTTACACACCATGGCTGATGGCCAGAGAAATCACAACACAGGTTATACACCATGGCTGATGTCCAGAGCAATCACAGCACAGGTTATACACCATGGCTGATGTCCAGAGCAATCACAGCGAGAGTGGCGGGCAAGAATGGGAACGCACCTGCCGGCACGCACATGGAGGAGATGGAGCGGTGAAGTCAGCTGGTCGTGTGTGTGCAGGAGTGGGGTTGATTGTTATGACCACATCTACTACATCGCTGAACAGCGGGAGAATTGTATGTATCCAGCAGTGGATTGATCATGGTTGATGATATCGCTTATGCAACGCACACTTTGGAAAGTACTCAAAGTAACACAAAGACAAAGATACCCATATAGATTAACCAGACTGTTGGGGAAAGTGCTGTTAGCGAGCTCATAAGTAACACACACACTATAGGACATGCTATGTAAGTGGTATAGGCTATGTAACACAGTGGTATAGGCTATGTAACACAGTGGTGTAGGCTATGTAACACAGTGGTATAGGCTATGTAACGCAGTGGTATAGGCTATGTAACACAGTGGTGTAGGCTATGTAACACAGTGGTGTAGGCTATGTAACACAGTGGTATAGGCTATGTAACACAGTGGTGTAGGCTATGTAACACAATGGTGTAGGCTATGTAACACAGTGGTGTAGGCTATGTAACACAATGGTGTAGGCTATGTAACACAGTGGTATAGGCTATGTAACACAGTGGTGTAGGCTATGTAACACAGTGGTGTAGGCTATGTAACACAATGGTGTAGGCTATGTAACACAGTGGTATAGGCTATGTAACACAGTGGTGTAGGCTATGTAACACAGTGGTATAGGCTATGTAACACAGTGGTGTAGGCTATGTAACACAGTGGTATAGGCTATGTAACACAGTGGTGTAGGCTATGTAACACAGTGGTATAGGCTATGTAACACAGTGGTGTAGGCTATGTAACACAGTGGTATAGGCTATGTAACACAGTGGTATAGGCTATGTAACACAGTGGTGTAGGCTATGTAACACAGTGGTATAGGCTATGTAACACAGTGGTATAGGCTATGTAACACAGTGGTATAGGCTATGTAACACAGTGGTACGTGCGCTGTGCTGTGTAGCCACACGTGCTGTACCTTATCGTCACAACGTTGTCCGGCGCATGCTGTTTGTTCCCGTTGAACACGAAGGCTCTTGACAACAGCCACCATTCACCAAGTGATGCCACGGAGCTTGTGCCAGGCTAGGTGCGCTTCGAGGCTACAGCGGGAAGTGTTGTGGGTACTCGCTGGCAGGAAACCACGTCCGCTGTTGTGGGTTAAGTGACTTGAGGATGACTTGGCAAGGCACTGCACTGACACGACCATACACTCTCAACACTCCCACAAACACCACACATTCCCCTAGACACGATACATTACAATTGTCTCTGTACACTCATATAGACTCTGTAAACTCCTATAGACTCTGTACACTCCTAGAAACTCTGTAAACTCCTAATGAATCTGTAAACTCCTATAGACTCTGTACACTCCTATAGACTCTGTACACTCCTATAGACTCTGTACACTCCTATAGACTCTGTAAACTCCTATAGACTCTGTACACTCCTATAGACTCTGTACACTCCTATAGACTCTGTACACCCCTATAGACTCTGTACACTCCTATAGACTCTGTACACTCCTACAAACTCTGTACACTCCTACAAACTCTGTACACTCCTATAGACTGTACACGCCTATAGACTCTGTACACTCCTGTAGACTCTGTACACTCCTGTAGACTCTGTACACTCCTGTAGACTCTGTACACTCCTGTAGAATCTGTACACTCCTATAGACTCTGTACACTCCTATAGACTCTGTACACTCCTATAGACTCTGTACACTCCTATAGACTCTGTACACTCCTATAGACTCTGTACACTCCTATAGACTCTGTACACTCCTATAGACTCTGTACACTCCTATAGACTCTGTACACTCCTATAGACTCTGTACACTCCTATAGACTCTGATCACTCCTACAGACTCTGTACATTCCTATAGACTCTGTACACTCCTGTAGACTCTGTACACTCCCAAAGACTTGCCTGTAGGCTCCCACAAGCTCTACACGACACCAACACTCTTCCAGCACGCACGCTGCTGTCACTTGCAACGTGGACCACCACCACACACCACCAACAGCTGTTGCTGGCCCGGCCCACGTGGTCACGCGCCGAGGCGATGACGTCACGGGCGCCGCGCGCAAGTAAACACGACGTCATCGCGATCTCTGCGGATCGATTCTGCGCCACTTACCGCGGGATTCACCCCACAAGGCGAATCGATTTGTTTTTAAATCAGAATTTTTTTTTATAGTGCAGGAGGAATCCGATGATCTATAAAGCTCTTTATTTTTTTACAGATGTCCAGTAAGGGGCAAGTCAGAACAACAAACAATACAAAAAAACACGATCGGAGTTTAATGTATAGATGTAAACAAATCACTTAAAAATATACAAATAAAACTAAACTATTTTTATTTTACCATACTAAGCCCCACTGAGTTACGTTGCTTTTTTTTGTCAGAAGCGACCTGGCTGCTATCACAAATGATAGCTCAACGAAGTTGGCGGCTTGTCGCGTGGAAACGTAAAGCAGCCAAACTACTCTAAACGCCGTGATGTTGATTCTCGATGTGGAGGGGGAAAACCAGGAGGACCCGGAGAAAAATCCACGCGACCACAGAGAGACACCGCAGACTCCAAATATACAGCAGCAGCAGGCGTTGTCAGGGTCAGGATCGAACCCACGATCTCCTGTACACCAGGCGAGGTAGTTAACATCTCATAGCCACCGTGATGATGATGAGAGAGACACCGCAAACTCCAAATATACAGCAGCAGGTGTGAGGGTCGGGATTGAACCCACGACCTCCTGTGTACCTGGCGAGGGAGTTAACATCTCATAGCCACCCACGACCTCCTGTGTACCAGGCGAGGGAGTTAACATCTCATAGCCACCGTGATGATGATGAGACACCGCAGACTCCAAATATACAGCAGCAGCAGATGTCAGGGTCAGGATCGAACCCACGATCTCCTGCGTACCAGGCGAGGTAGTTAACATCTCATAGCCACCGTGATGATGAGAGAGACACCGCAGACTCCAAATATACAGCAGCAGGTGTGAGGGTCGGGATCGAACCCACGACCTCCTGTGTACCAGGCGAGGGAGTTAACATCTCATAGCCACCCACGACCTCCTGTGTACCAGGCGAGGGAGTTAACATCTCATAGCCACCGTGATGATGATGAGACACCGCAGACTCCAAATATACAGCAGCAGCAGATGTCAGGGTCAGGATCGAACCCACGACCTCCTGTGTACCAGGCGAGGGAGTTAACATCTCATAGCCACCGTGATGATGAGAGAGACACCGCAGACTCCAAATATACAGCAAGCAGGCATCGTCAGGGGTCGGGATCGAACCCACGACCTCGTGTGTACCAGGCGAGGTAGTTAACGTCAATGGAACTTGCGTGTGACCCCACTTGTTACATCGCCACGTGGGCCATCTCGCCTGGTATTTACTGCCCGCATTACAAGACGCACTTTGTACCCCCCCTCCTCCTCCTCTCCCGTAATTTTTAAAGCGAAACTTTTAGGGGCCGTTCATAAATGACGTCACGCACCTGGGGGGGTGGGGGGTCAGACATTTGTGACGATGTGTGACAAGGGGTGGGGGAGGGGTTTGAGAAATGTGACGTCACATCAAAATGCGCAACTTTAAATAAATATAGACAATACGTTATATTTAATTAAATATATTTTTTAATAAATGTTAACATCAGAGTGCAGCGCCACATTAAATACGCACTACAATGACAATAGTTTGAAGCGATTTGTTAGCATGTTTTATTTGGGGGGGGGGGCAGAGCTTTGTGACGTCATATTTGAGGGGGGGGTCAAAAATCGTCAAAAATCGCGTGACATCATTTATGGACGGCCACCTAAGGTGGACATGCGTCTTCTAATCCGGTAGCTGTGTTCGTGCGTGTGACCACACTTGAGCAACTATATTGACAACCGTCTGACTTAATCTTAACAAGACATTAGGATAAGGGATCATTGTGGCTTGCGTGTGGACTTACGTGCGTTTTGGCATTTCGTGCGTAGTTTTTATTTAGTGTTAGCGTTGTTAGCTCGTGTAAGCAAATGCCGATTTGTTAACGCTAACCCTCCACCGCCAGACAGAGCCAATCAAGTCGAGTTGCCGCGTCCCGTTGATTTGTATTTTTTAAATCAGAAACGCCCGAGGAATGTTGTGACACGTGCTTTTGTTTGAAATGAAGAACGCTTCGCTGGAGATGTACCCTCCAGCATAATCGGGCGTCAAACAAGAGCTAAGCTATACTCATTGGTTGTTTTCGGTAAAGTCACGTGTATGTAGAAATAAATAAAAGAAATCACGACGTTTCGAACGCAACGCAAGCGATCATCATCAGGTGTAAAACAAATAGCGAGGGAACACATAGGGGGACATCACGCACGTAGCACGCAGCGAACGTTAAACTGCAGGGAGGCAAATACAAGAAGATGAGAGACGAGAAACTCAACGAACCTAAGAAAAATAACGCGATGTGCAAAGCCGGTCGGCCAACAACAACAAAGGTCACTTGTGTTGTGGCCGAAACGTCGTGATTTTTGTTGTTTTATTTTTTACCTACGTGACTTTACCGAATAGAACCAAAGAGTATGGATCCTTGCAGTCACGAAAGCTTCAAATCTAAAATTAAAACACAGTTAGACACCGACCTGGTTGACCACGTGTTTCAGAAGACTGCTAAATTTCGTGTTCATCCTCTGGGTTGAACAAACCAGCTCTCGTCTCGTGCTCTTTTTATCAAGGAAGAGAAATAATAAAAAATAAAACATTTTATTTTGTTGTATTTTTATTATTTTATTATTTCCCTTCTACGTGACTTTACATCGAAAGCTTTCTTGACTGCAGGAATTCATCTTCTTGTTTCTTTCGGTAAAGTCACCGCGTAGAATGGAAATAAAATAATACAAATAAAACATCGTCGTGAGAATTTTATTGTTTTATTTTTATTATTTTATTTCCATTCTACGTGGTGACTTTACCGAAAGAACCAAGGAGATGGATCCCTGCAGTCACGAAAGCTTTAAATTGAAGATAAAAGTGGCGACTTCTTCCGTCTTGAGACGGAGACGACCCCCACAAGTCCTGCAGGAAGATGTGCACTTTTAAAATCGTCATCTAGATTTTAAACTCAATTACTAATAATAGGTTTTTACCCTTTTTTCTGGCAAACAAAACTGACACCTTTTTTTACACGGGATCATGTTTGCATTAACCACAATACCTGCGGTCAAAATACAAACCAAAAAAAAACAACTCTGATAATGTATGTGGCATTGTCCACACCAGAGACAGCTTTTCTTTAGAGCACAGTCTCATATATGGTGACAGCAAAGCTTCAAATCTAGATTTCGATTTAAAGCTTTCGTGACTGCAAGGATTCGTCTTCTTTGGTTCTTTCGGTAAAGTCACGTAGAATGAGAATAAAATAATAAATTGATAAAATAAAATGAATGCCCTCTTAACGGGGAGGAATTTCACCGATGTTATAGAGTTTTAAACAGACGACGAGACAAGAAGCCACAGCTGATCGAGACAGCTATTTTGCTGCGACGGTTTCCACCTGAAGACGGAAGCTTGTGTTGCCTCCGAAACGTCGTGATTTAATTTAGTTGTTTTCATCTATTTTATTTTCCACCTACGTTACTTTACCGACAAAACCAGAGTGTGAATCCTTGCAGTCACGAAAGCTTCAAATCTAGAAATATTGGATAATCTGATTATGGACAATAATGAATAATATTATGGATAATATTGGATATTATGATACGGATAATAGTTAATATTATGTATATTGCATAAATTATGGATAATTTTATGGACATTTGGTCGCGAAAGCGTTCGCCTCCTGCTGCTTCGTGGAAGCGGAAGTCGTCAGCGGTGAAGTCGGCGTTGTGCTACGTCACTTCCTCCCGGCCACTCTGGTCCCGGGTCCCGAGTTTAAATCGCCCCGCGGATATCACCGAAGCCCTCGCTACACGCAACAAGCACACGTTCTGGATACCGCATTCTTACGGCGCGTTCTTTAAGAAAATCGCTGTTACACCGTGCGGCGCCCGACACCGCTGATGTCGTACGCTCATCGCTATTCGACAGTCGGCGGTTTGTTTCCGGAACCTCCGCCAATGCGACTGGGCGGAACGTAAAAAAAATAAACCCGGACGGCACGGGAAACAATCGGCCCCGTGGAAGCACGCACGTGGGTGGCGCGTGGTTTGGTGGGGGGGCTTCTTTAAAGTTTCGAGTTTATACCTCGCGGCGATGATGATGATGATGACGGTGGCGTCGATTCAGTGAGAATCACACTGCGCCTGTGTCTCCAGGACGTCCACGGATTTATCCTTCGTGCTCCGTGGCTGTGGGTGGCGTGCCGGGTGGGTGAGTCTTCCGTGCGCCGCTGGTGTGGACACGCGCGGCGCCGCGTGGCCACCACGTGTGACTCGAACGCCGTGGGCGCTTTTAAACAACCACGGTGGCACAATCGTCTCGGATAACCCATAGCACCTGGGTCTCTGTTCCGTTAACCTGCCGGCGAGCCTTCGTTTTAGTACGCGAAGTTTACGTGGCCTCGAAGTGCACGTAGCCTGGCACGGGCGCCGGTCAAGCAGTGGCGAATGGCGGACGATGTTGTTGGCCAGAACCGCCTGCCCGTGCCCCGACGTGGACTCGCAGTGGACGATGACAACGGCATTGCTACGATACTCGGGTTACTGACCATACTTCACCACACGTTAATTAGGGTTGGTAGGTTTGTAGATACTACTCGCCATCGAAATTATAATTGCAATGATAGCGGTTATGTAGTACTGTAACGATCGTGCGGTCATTGTGTAATTCCGACCTAATTCAGTACAGAAATGCTCGAATACATTACAGTACGTGATTTGAAATAACAGCGCCAAGGGTGGAGCGGTGGCGGCCGTGGTTAGCGACTTGGTTAAGTTGCCGGCTAACATCAGTGGCGAGTGATATCCGAACCTGGACCCCCACCCCCCGGCTCAACATTTAAGCGACCCGCACTCACCAGGGTGGCGGAGCGAGGTTAAATAAAAAAAAAACCAACCCCACATAGCACAACAACCCCTGCAGTGTATCGACACGGGGCTGCAACTACGGTAACGACGCGGAGTAGTCCCCTCTTTATATACTTAAGACGTTCTACATTGCAGTGGTTCTCGTGTGGTATTACCAATGGGAAGGTGCTCCTAGCAGTTGGCAATCCTCGCCTAGTGATGGAATCACGCAGCTCTACAGCCATCCGTTACACCGCTCCTACTGTTGTTTGCCTTTCCCACAAAGTGGTTCCAATTTTAGTGGTTTTGGGAAAGATGATGGGGGCTGAGTCGACCAATATGCCCCACAAAGTGGTACCAATTTTAGTGGTTTTGGGAAAGATGATGGGGGCTGAGGCGATATTAATTTCACAGTGAAACGGTACACTGCTGTACATTAATAATAATAACATGTTATACGTGGATGCAACAGTGGTTATTTAGTTTTTTTTTATGGGAACTGAGGCCCCCCGCCATAGTACTATGTAATTTCCACCTCCGTCTCAGAGCCACCACTTAAGATAAGCGCGCTGCCCAACAATCGTTTCAGCACGAAGACTCTTTAAGACACGGATCACTGTTTTTGTTGCTGTTTAACACAAGGTAACCACCTTGTGTTAAACAACAACACAATATAAAAAAAATTACAGGGAAAATATATTGCAAAGCCTCCACATGCCTCGACACGTCTCCTGCAAATATCAATACGCGCACCAACGCCAACCTGTCAACCCCTTGTCAACAATCCACAGATCACGCGAGCCGAATCCATCGCTCCATCTCCCCGGCGGACAGTCCTCTCGGACACATTCTAATCGTTGGCTGCCACTCAAAGTCACAAACCTGTCAAACCCTTATCAGTGCCCTACCTTATTACAGATCAATTCAGACCCTATTGGTCACCCCGTGCCTTTATAAATCTCAACATTCATTCTATACACTACACTATACACTACTTTCCACGGCACTATACACAACACAGTACAGTATATACTCCACTACTACACACATGTCAACTCCTTATCAGTGCCCTACCTTATTACAGACTAATTCAGACCTTATTGGTCACCCTACGCCCTTAGAAATATCAACGTTGATCCTACAAAGTCCCATCACAAGGGTGAGAAACACAAACAAATAGACAAACATTTTTGTTGCCCGCATTGAAACGGCTGTACACCGTATGGACCTGAAAACTAAATTTCCCTGCACAAGAATGCGGGCTAAACCGTGTGGGTTGACACGGTATGCCAACGACAGCCCTTGAGGCTCCCATTTGTAAACTCTGGGAGCCATTGCTTACACAGGGCTGTGTTCAATCACACAGGTCGAGAGGAAAGTTACAGGGAGAGGAGGATCGTTAGTATGGATATCTATATTTTATTTTATACCTACGTGACTTTACCGAAAGAACCAAGAATACGGATCCCTGCAGTCACGAAAGCTTTAAATCGAAATTTAGGATTGATGATTTGTGTCCGCTCAGTCATGGTTAAAATAAATTAAGAAACATAGTTCACAAATATGAAACTAATTCCTTTAACAAAATTAACACTGGATTCAATTAAGAGGGTCATAACGTATGCATGTATTCTAGATTTGAAGCTTTCGTGACTGCAAGGATTCATACTCTTTGGTTTTATTCTGTAAAGTCACGTCGATGAAATAAAACAAAATGAAAGAAAAAAATAAATCACGACGGTTCGGAGGCAACACAAGCTTCGGTCTTAAGGTGAAAAAGTCAACGCAGAATATCTGTGTCAGGAGCACAGTTCAGAGACGACCGGGATTATATACAGGTTAAGGAGGGGGGAGGAGTCAGTAAGGGGGCGTGGCTGGGTGGGAGGGCTGGGTTAAGCAGCCTTTTGATAGGCTGCTGCGGGTAACAAGCACTTCGCACTGCACGAGAATGGGTAAAAAACCCACCTTTTGTATGCTACGTGTGGGGTCGGGGGGAGGAGGTCTCTTCACTGTGCTCCTGACACAGATATTCTGCGTTGACTTTTCCACCTGAAGACGGAAGCTTGTGTTGCCTCCGAAACGTCGTGATTTAATTGTTTTCTTTTATTTTGTTTTAATTTATCTACGTGACTTTACCGAATAAAACCAAAGAGTATGCATGTATGTCGAACTGACTTTGCACCGTGCGTAGCCAACTGCGCTAATTGGAGGTGCGGGGGAAGGACAACAAACGAAACACAAAAAGCAGTTCAAAAAAATAGTTTTCAATTCGGATTTCAAGTGCATAGCTCCAGTGGCTTCCCAATGTCAGGAAGGAAGAGCGTTCCAGATGGCCCCAGACAGGGGTATACGTGTATATAAATGTATTCTGTATATTCGCGTGAGCTCGTGTTTGACAAGAACGCATATGTGCTTCGTGTGTACGTGCGCGTGCCCCACGTGCGCGTGCCCCACGTGCACGTGCCCCACGTGCATCCCCGCAGCAGCAGCAGCAGCGTTGGCAGCATGGGCCGGTTAAAGCGAAGACACAACTGGCGTGGCCGCCTCCAGCCATCCTCGCAGAGCCTCACGCCCTCCAAGAAGGCGGCAGCCAAGGAGATCATTCTCGAAGGTAAATGACCATTCCTCTGTGTCCCCTGATTTAACATCTTCTTGCAAGCTACTCTAGTTGCTTGTCTTTTTCAAATTTGTGATTTTTGTTTTTGTTTTGATGTGACTGCGTTTTCGATCGGTGTATAATCACCTGCTTGCTACGAGATGTGGATGAGAAACATGGGCAGTGACGAGTAAAATGGAACAAAGCTTACAAGATTTACTTGGATTTACACATGAGAGACATTGATAGTAAATTTGTCCTTTACAGCGCAACCTTGGATTGCGAGTAACTTGGTCTGCGAGTGTTTTGCAAGACGAGCAAATTATTTATAAATAATTATTTGATAAACGAGCGATGTCTTGCAATATGAGCAGTACGTACAGTATACGCTTTGTCTGCCGAGCGTCACGTGATCACAACTGAGCCAATGGTTCTTCTCTCTGTCTCGCTGCGGGATTGTGGGTAATCATCTCCCATGCTCGGTCTCAGTCGGCGTGCCTCACTCGTATAGTCAACATCCGTGCGAGCGTATACTGTTTACTACAGTATAGTAACCACGTGTATACAGTTTACTACAGTATAGTGTTGTGACCACGTGTGTGTGCGTAAAGCATTTTTTTATTTTGTGTCCAAGTGTAGTGACTGTTCTTTAGTAACTGTACTGCAAGTGAAAGTCGTCCTACACAATAACCCTCCTCCTCCTCTCCTTCACACCGACCACGATTAAATGTAATTAATAAATGTGATTACTTTATATTAAATTTAAATAATAAGAATAGAAAAAGGTATTTTGTATTAATAATTTTTATATGAAAACAGTATTTTTGGGTTGTGGAAAGAATCATCTTAGTTTCCATGATACGAGTGCTTTGGATTACGAGCACGTTTCCGGAACGAATTATGCTCGCAATCCAAGGTTTCACTGTATATCTTTTTTTGTCTATGACTCGCTCATTGCATGACCCGTTTTAGTTATAAACAAACCGTTGTGTGTTATCTCTGGTTTGTATTTTATACATTTGCCTGCGCGGTTTTGTTTTCTCCGATTGTTTTCGTCCTGAACCGAGTGTGTTGACCCCTTCAGTTGTTATCCTCGTATTTGATCGCGAGTCTCCGCCCGCCTAAGAGGCCTGCTGCCTCACTGTGCTGCAACCTGGTTTCGAGTTGATGCGAGTGGCTGCCTTGTTTGAGCGATCCGTTACAGGCGACGTGTGTGCGATGTCTTACAGGCGATGCGTTATGGGCAATCTGTTACAGGCGACGTGTGTGCGATGTGTTGCAGGCGATGTCCTGCGACAGAAGGGGGTGGACAGCAGCAATCCGCTGGTTCTCCCATCCACCCCGGCGGTTCCTCGCGCTGCTCCTCAGCTGCCGCGCAACCGCCCCAAGCGCCCACTCAGCCGCAAACAGCGGAAACTCCTTGAGAAAGTTCTCGAGCAGAAGCAGAAGAAACTTCAGGTGCTTCCATCATGCTTGGCTTTGACTCGTCAAGCCACACGAATCTGTCACGAGATTTTAATCTGATTTCATTTAAAAAATTTTGGTTGTTCTCTTCTCCAGTACACACGCTTGATTTTTTGCAATGAGGATTGGAATTAGGTGACTCATGACATCACAGTAGACACTGCACCAACATATATTTAATCTTGGGCAGCGAGAATGACGTGGCCAAGCGGTCGCGTGTTCCCGGTTCGAACCCAGCGGCAGTCCTGGTGAATACTGATGGTGTATTAACCATGAAATTTGTGCCATCTGTTTCACAGAAGGTAATGGAGATCCCGTGATATCATTCGAAAAAAGAGAAGGCCGTTGTTTGCCGCTATCATAGCTAAAACGTTAACAGTTACTCGCACTTTTCTTCATTGGGAAATTCGCATCGCAACAACACCCCCCCCCCCCAAATGTAATGTCCACTTGCTGGCTGGTGTCGCGTTCACCTTCTACCGCGAAGGTACAGCTGCCACGGGTGCCCCCGCCGCAGGGCGTCTCCAGATCTACCGCATGAAGATGAGGTGACGACGATGAGAATGCTCGCTCTGCTTTGCCTGCGCCAAGGATGCGATGAATCACACAAGCGTCCCTGGTGTTCTTGTTCGTGTATTTTCTGTCCAGCGGTCGGAGCTGTTGGAGCGACTGGCCGAGTGCCAGGCCTCGCAGGATGTAATGAGGCAGCTGCAGTCAACGTCGCAGATTGGATCGCATATCCCTGCACACCAGCACAGGTGAGATTATGCGCATGTCAGGTAATTTACGATGCAGCTTTCCCAAGGTGGCCTTGTGGTCAAGAGGTCAGAGTGCTGATCCCGCAATGCTGAGTTGCTGGGTTCAAACCCATGGAGCCCCGCCTGTGATTAAATCGGGTTCTCAAGTGTAGCGAATTGATCAGAATCAGAACATTATTTACACTGGAGGAATGCGATGAGTTAACACATTCCTGCGGAGGGAGCTGGTAGGAACGTTGGGTTGCTCGGTCAATGGCCAGGGTCAACAACGACGGCACCACGTGGTGTATTCAGCACAATGTGCCCGACTGTGAGGGCGGGCACAAGCCGGCGTGAGTAGGTGAAATGTTGAGTTTTATAAGGGCACCACGGGGTGACCAGCCCCTCCCCACCCAGCCCCACCCCCACCCAGCCCCTCCCCACCCTCCCCACCCAGCCCCTCCCCACCCTCCCCACCCAGCCCCTCCCCACCCAGCCTCTCCCCACCCTCCCTTCCCCACCCAGCCCCTCCCCACCCTCCCCTCTCCACCCAGCCCCACCCCTCCCATTTTTGGATGCAGGACGGACGGACACAATAATCCCCTGTGGGCTGGTGTAACCAGGAGGTTCCTACCAGTATAAAGCTCTTTTTCACAGGCGTGCAGTAGGGGCAAGTAAGAATGTTATAACAACAACAAACAATACAAAAACATGGTCGGAGTGCAGAGTAGAGGAAAGGTAAATCAATCACTGAAAAAGGAAACAAATTAAATGTTAATTTTATTTGACCAGGTAAAGCTCCACTAAGCTATGAGCTTCTTTTTCAGTAGTCACCTGGCGACAAATGATAGCTGAACGAAGTGGGTTATGTGGAAATGTATAGCCTGGTCACCAGTGATTGCAAAAGAAAACATCAAATCATAATTACAATGCCGGCTTTGATTATCATGTGATGAGCATGAATGTCAGTGGCAGGGGAGGTGGGAAAGTGCTGCCGCTATTTGTGTGGAACAGCGGTCACTTAAAAGGATCTACGATCGCCGTCTCAAGGTCACTTGAAGGGGTCTTTCGAGGTAGCCCTGTGATATCTGCTTCCGTGGGCCGTCCTCTAACACGGAGGGCCACACCACGATCCGAGAGATCCGAGTGGATGTTTTGTGTCTGGACGTGATGCCAATAGCAAAATTGGGATCAATTTGGTGAAAAAGTATAAAACTCTTTTTGAAATGCAGCTTTCGTTGGGGGGGGGGGTGCCCGCCAGGGTGGCACTGGTACAGCGCCCCCCAATAACAATTTGAAGGCTCGTGCAGTTATTTGATTTTGGCTGCATGGAATATCTCGGCGAAACCTCAGCTTGGTGTAGGTTGTGTGGTGATGGTTACCACTCGCTGCCGAGTGTTTGCAAGGCCTAATATAACACCTGTTGCGGCACCTGCAGCGCCTCCCGTGCTGTAACGTCTGTGACGGGCTAACCACTGCGTTCACCGCTTCTCCTCTTCATACGGTGGTGGTGATGAGTATCAGTCAGAGGTTACAACCCTCCGTGGGACGATTTGTTTCCTTCCCCCAGGCACAAGGAGGCTGCTGATGGGGATTTGCTGGCGTCCAAATTAAATGCGATTAGAGGCGGAGTCGGCAAGAGGAAGCGAAAGTGTGGCGGCGACGACGATGAAGACAGCGAGGAGGACGAGGTCGCCCAGACGGACACGACGGCCTCGGAGGAGTCGGACGAGAGCTCCGCGTCGGACAACGAGGGCGACGTCGCGCAGCGGCACGGTTTTAAGGAGGAGGGCGTGGCGACGGGCGAGGCGATGGGCGGGCCGCGCGCAGACGGCACGGCGGACGGGGAACCTGCAACCTCCATTGAGCCGGGGAAGAAGGCCCCCGAGCTCACGAAGGCGGGAGAGGGAAAAGCCGCTGCGGAGAGTGGCGGTGCGGGAGTGGGGCTGCCGCGTGGACTCCCCAAACAAGCTGCCGTGTTTGTTCACGTGAACCGCCGGGCCAAGGTGCAGGTGAGCAGTTCAAGGTTACCAATAAGATGCTTGAAGCCGAACCGATTTGGGGAAGGGCCCCTCCAGTTGCGGAGGGTGTCTGACATGCAAATGACTGCTGAGTTTGCTTGTCTTCAACCAATGCTGCATCACTGTCTTGCGCGACTGTCTCTTGGGTTTACCTTCGTGATCTTGTTCCAACTTTCAGGAGGCACGGCTGGCGTTGCCGATCCTGGGAGAGGAGCAGGCCATCATGGAGGCAATTGGAGAAAGTCCGGTGACTGTGGTGTGTGGAGAAACGGGCAGTGGCAAGAGCACGCAGCTGCCTCAGTTCCTGTACGAGGCCGGATACGCGAGGTGAGTGCGTGTGCGCTGTGCGCATGGCCAACACCGGTGACGATTATCTGAATCGGTCCTGAGCCTCCCCTAGGTCGACTCGGCCTCAAATTAGTTCCTAGTGCTGTGCCAGCCTTCATAGGTGCTCGCTAACAGCACTTGCCCCAACAGTCTGCCAAGGCTATAGAGGGGATCTTTGCGTGGAGTGTGATGGGGAGTCGTAGTGCCAGCGGTTAGTGCACTGTGAATCAAACCTGGCGGCCCGAGTTCGATTCCCGCTCATGGCTAACATCGGTGACTATTATTTAAACTGGTCCTGGGCCTCTCCTAGGTCAACTCGGCCTCAAATGAGCACCTGCTACGATGTGCAAATAGCATTGGGGAAACAAAGGTAGCTGGGAGTGGTGCTGGCCACCAAAACCCCTCGTGTGCTGTAGGTACTCATAGGTGCTCACTAACAGCACTTTCCCCAACAGTCCGTGCAGGTGTGTTGACGTTTTTTTATAATGATTTTACATGTCTGGGCATGCCCAACAACTAATCGGAATTGATTGGCGCAGTGAGATGATGAATCTCTTTGGAAGACTTTCACGTGGCCTTTTTATTTTGACACAACAGCCCAGGGGAAGCAACTCTTCTATCAGCTCATCGCGTGACATTCTTATTTGTGTTTTAATTCTCAGCCATGATTTCGTCAAATTCAGAGAAAAACCCCAAATGCGGTGGTTTTTATATGCACAGTTATTGGCAGCTGGGCTGAGACCATCAACTCGCTGGTACTCGCTTGACGAGCGTGTGTGTGTACGTGCCAGTACGTATTCACAATCGGTACGTCGTTGGGCACCCTGGCCACCCTCGCAAACGAGACCTTCCATCCGAAGGAATTTTCCAGGGGAAAATATTTTCACGAATAAAATAAAAGCACGGTGTAGCTGAAGCCCGGCTACCGGGCTCTGCACTTTGACCCCTGAGCCTCCACCTCGCCGGGCAGTTGCGACGCTCGTGGCTCTGGACTTCTGTAAAAAAAAATAAAGAAAGCTTCATAGCTCATCGGATTCCTCCAGTTGAATTAAAGTTTCTTATTCTCTGTGTGTGCGCCGCTGGCAGGACGGGGCTGATCGGTGTGACGGAGCCTCGCCGTGTCGCCGCTGTTTCACTGTCTCACCGCGTTGCTCACGAGATGAATCTGCCAAGCAGGTGAGACGTTTACTCCGCCCCCGTGTATCCGTTTCTCACTTGCGTCTGCGAGACGCGTAACGACGCACCCATTCGTCGGCTTGAGAAGTAAGAGTTTGTACTAAAAACTAAACTAGTTTTTTATATTGCCAGGTAAGGCCCACTGAGCTATATTGCTGGGGCCACAAATGCTTGCTCAACCGAGTGGCTTACGTGGAAATTTATAGCAGCCAAATGCTCTAAACGCACGTTTCTAAATGTGGCGGGAAAAACCGGAGGACCCAGAGAAATATCCACACCACCAAGGTGGAGAACACGCAAAATTCCACATATACAGGTGTTAGGGACAAGATTGAACCCACGACCCCCTGCATACCAGGCGAGGTAGTTATCTCACCACCGTGGCTCGTGGTGAAGATGGAGTTTTGTAGGTCACGACAGCACCCTCAGACGTATGAATATTCTCTCGAGGCAGTTTCCTGCCTGATCGCTCGTGAAACTAAAGTGAGGTATTTTTTTGGTCTGTGCAGGATTGTGTCTTACCAAGTGCGCTACGATGGGAACGTGATGCCCGAAACAAAAATAAAATTCATGACGGACGGTGTCTTACTACGGGAAGTGCAGAAGGTACGTCTGGGTATGCGCGTATATATGAATACGTGTGTGTGTGTGTGTGACTGCAATACCTTCCAACCCATACTGAAAGCGACAAGGCCTTAGCTCTGTGTGTTTGCGTGCCTCGCGATGACATTGCTGCGCGTGACGCGATCTCCCGACTTGCCGCATCGTGTACCGTATGACGTCATCTCACGTGGTCGTGGGCTTTCCTCTTCCCCTGGCACCTGCCTGGGCTTCTCCCCCATCACCGTCCTTCACAGCCGGTCACCGTTCATCCCGGTTGCAGACCCGGATGATCACGGCTTCCTGTACTTGACCTGACTCGCTAGCCTTGGTCCTGTTTCTGTGTCTCTTCTTTCTAGGGATTGATTCTGCTTTTCCTCGCTCTTCATAAAACAGTTTTACAAATTGGGATTTTACCAGAAGGCTTTCATTTCAAAAGCAGCGATTCTCCTTCGTTTAAGAATCCAAGGTCACACCCAGCCCGCTGACCGTGTCAGCGTTGTAACGCGCCGCACGTTACAAATGTGCCGAGGTTCGAGCCGTTGCAGCATGCCGCGCTGCAAACCCAGCGACCCGAATTTGATTCCCGCTCTCACGACTAACACCGGTGACGATTAACTGTACCGGTCCTGGGCATCCCCTAGGTTGACTCGGCCCCAAATGAGTACCTGGTGGCGGTGTGTAAAAATATCACCATTGGGGAGACAAAGGCGGTCGGGCGTGGTGTTGGCCCCCCCACCTTTTGTGTACCGTGCCGGCCTCCATAGGTGCTAATTCTAGATTTGAAGCTTTCGTGACTGCAAGGATTCATACTCTTTGTTTTTTTCGGTAAAGTCAAGTAGGTAAAAAAAGTAAAAAAAAAATGAAAACTAAATTAAATCACGACGTTTCAGGCGCAACACAAGCGTCCTTCTTCAGGTGGGGACGACGTAGCGAAAGCACAAACGCTTAAGTGTGTCTCGGAGATGGCTGTGACGAGGGATTATTTAGTCGCGGGGCATGAAGAGGGGGGGGGGGGCGCCATGGTGAGCGTGGGGGCGGGGTGTGGGCTGGGAGGTAAAGTTGGGAAGCCGAGGGTACGCTGGGAGGCAACGACTTGGGCCGAAACTGGAGCGTTGTGATGTAGATGGCGGAAGTAGATAAGCAAGCTAGGATTAAACCGCATTTTGTTATGCTGCCGGGTGGGCAAATTAGAAATGCGCAGGCTAACAATGTAAGGAGTTCAAAGTGAAATGTGCAAGCTAAAAAAACAACTTGTGGTACGCACTACCATGGCGATGGCGGTTTGTAAAACTGGCGGTAACAGACTGGGAATATCGGTATGTTTATGAAAATACATCGAAAGCATAGGTGCTACTCGCGAACAGCACTTGTCCCATAAGTGTGTTATGGCTGGGACGTGACCTAATGGACTCATTTATTTGTTTTGATAACTTGTTTGTTGTTTGCGCTTTTTGTTTTGGTGCCATTTAAAAAAAAAATATTTTGCTTGGCAGTCGTTGGGCTTCTTTCGCACCATGCATAGACAACCGCGTATATATATGCATATTGGTCCTCGTGTATAATGAATGTACAGCGTCGTGGGATGCTGTTGGCATGACTGACGCTATATAAAATGAAAGTATTGTTGTTATTATGCGGTGGGTGGGGGGGGCGGGGTGTATATGTCTTTGTTGTGTTTGCGTCACGCGGGCTGTGCGGGCTGTGCGGGGGGCAGGACTTTGTGCTGTCGCGCTACAGCGCACTGATCATCGACGAGGCCCACGAGCGCAGCGTGCACACAGACGTGCTCATCGGGCTGCTCTCGCGCATCGTGCCCCTGCGCCACAAGGTGATCGCCGCGCGGTCTTCGGGGCGGGGGCGGGGGATTTTTCAGGTGGTGCTGCACCAATTGGCGCACTACTGCATGTGCTGCCGTGTATATGGCGCTGTGTTTATGCGTGCGTGGTGCCGTGCGTGCGTGGTGCCACGCGTGCAGTGCTGTGTGAGCAGCCAGCGTGTGCGTGGTTTGCGTTTCAGCGAGGCTCCCCTCTCAAGCTGGTCGTCATGTCGGCCACTCTTCGCGTTGAGGACTTCACGGAAAACCTGCGTCTCTTCCCCTCCCCTCCACCCGTGATTAAGGTGACCTCCTCCCCCCCCCCCCCCCCCCCCTTCAATCCTCGCACCAACTCGAGTGCTGAGGCGGCTCTCACATTTTGCACTTGCAACATGGACCGCCTAAGTCTTCCTAACAACTTCAAATTATAGATGACTTCTAATTACATGGGTGATGCTGCCGTGGCTTAATTCTAAGCACGTTGAACTTGCAACACAGACGTCACCGGTCCGATTCGTTCGCCCCTGCGTGGCAGTTGAAACAAAGCAAGTTTTTTTGGTTCAAAATCCGCACCGTCTCCCTGTCGGTTTGGACGAGTAGGCCAAAGGCCCTCAAGAGCTCCCTCTAATTGAGCGCCGCCAGGACCCGTGCTCAGCCAACTCAGCGCGGGTTCCAGAGGCCCCAGGTTGTTTATATCGCCGCGAAAAACTTCGATGTACCGCTGACGTCGCACGCCACGAGCCTCGCGGTCCTGGTGGCTCGCGTCCCTCGCAGGGCTCAACAGACTTGTGGGAGCCTTGCGAGGCCAGAGTAGTAACGGTTCACTTCCGGCTCGGCTCGCCAAATATAGCCAGTGGGAAAATCAACCGTACCGTGACGGGCCCCCCCCCCCCCCCCCCCCCGCGTTGGCACGGCTCGGATACGCCAGTGGAAGAAAAAGTTGGGTAGGTGCGTGTCTGCGACTGGTGCATCTCACCCTTAAGCTTGTGTAAGGGTGCCACGGTGGCTAGGAAAGTGGGGTCACACGCAAGTTCCATTGACGTTAACTACCTCGCCTGGTATGCACGAGGACCTGGGTTTGATCCCGACCCCTGACGATGCCTGCCTGCTGTATATTTGGAGTCTGCGTTTCTCTCATCATCATCACGGTGGCTATGAGATGTTAACTACCTCGCCTGGTATTCAGGAGGTCGTGGGTTTGATCCCGACCATGACGCCTGCTGCATATTAGAAGTGTGCATGTCAGGCCGCCCCGTGGTCGTATAGATTTTTCTCCGGGTCCTCTGGTTTTTCCCTCCACATTTAGAAACGGAGTATTTTTGGCTGCTGTAAATGTCCACGTGATAAGTCAATTCGTTGAGCTATCCTTTGTGGCGAGGTCGCTTCCTGAAAACGAGTTACATACCTCAGTGAGCCTTACCTGACGTATGTAACTCGATCGCAAAGCAACACTGCTGAAAATGATCAGATTATTAAAACAATTAAAATACCATATATCTCAGGAGTAACTGACAAATTAGCCCGTGTTTTGCAAAACATTAAAGTAAGATTTGGTACAGTACACAAAATTCAAAAACTAGTATTTTGTACGAAAGACGAATTACCTAAATTATCAACAGGTGTATTTCGGATTAATTGCTTATGTGGCAGACGCTATATTGGACAGACGGGACGTAACATCAGCGTAAAACTAAAAGAACACCAAAGAAATATTAAATTATCTCAAACACAACTGTCGGCAGTGGCAGAACATGCTTGCCAACAAGGCCACTCAATTGATTTTGATAACGTTGAAATGTTGTGTAAAACTAATTATTACTGGTAAAGACTAATTAGAGAATCCATTGAAATTGAGAGAAATAGAAATAACTTTAATCGCTCTGACAGCTACAGGCTTAATGCGGCCTGGAAGCGAATTATTAAATAATACATATTACTTTTCCTTATAGGGGAAACACATACTAATTAACTGATTACTAACGTAGTATATAATTACAATAACCCCCCCCTCTGCTGCCTCTGATTTCTGCACCTGATTGGGTATAGTGATTGGGTTCAGTTATTAAATAATACACATTACAACTAATCACTAATCTACAATAATTACTGATCATAACAATTAACTGATTACTAATCTATTATATAATTACCCCCCCCCTCTCCGATCTCTGCACCTGATTGGGTTAAATGATGACGGCACCCTGCTGCACTATTTAAGACCGGGAGCAGGTGGAGGGCTTCACTATTCTGGCAAATCGCCCGATGATGCTGGATGTAATTACCACAGAAACGTCGTACTCAAAAATTGTAAATGTTGTGGATTCACTCTTCAACACACCGGTGGGCTAAAGTAGTGAACTATTTGTCTTTTATATTCTTAGTTTTTTCGGTAAAGTCACGTTGAAGAGAAACAACAAAATAACAAAATATATATAAAACGTGACTTTACCGAAAAAACTAAGAATATGAATTACTGCAGTCACGAAAGCTTTAAATCAATATTTGTCTTTTGTCAACGTGACAATTGTTTTTTACCGATTGGCCATGTCGGGTGGTGGAGGGTTACGACACATTTATAAATAAACGCGATCCAACCCAAAAACCTTTATTATGAATAACATTGGTCGCTGAAGCCTGGGTGTTAAAAGAAAAATAGTTTCGTTTTTAGTTTAGTTTTAGTTTGGTACCTGGTGTTCCCGTCGATCTCCCGTCGCGCGCGACGCAGGTGGACGCTCGGCAGTTCCCGGTGACGGTGCACTTCAACAAGCACACGCCGCCGGACGACTACGTGGGCGAGGCGTTCCGCAAGGTCAGCAAGATCCACCGCCTGCTGCCGCCGGGCGGCTTGCTCGTGTTCGTCACGGGCCAGGCGGAGGTGCAGGCACTGTGCAGCCGTCTCCGCACGGCCTTCCCCCGCCGGACCGGCGCGCAGGCCGCACAAGCAGGTACCAGGCCATCATCGTTTTGAAGTTTTAAATCTAAATTGAAAACTCCTTCCCCCGCACCTTCGATTAGCACGGTTGGCCACGTACGGTGCAAAAGAAGTTCAACATACATACAGAAGTTTAATAAACGTACTACATCATCATCATCATCGTTTTTATCGGTGGCTGTGGCAGTAACCTGTGAGGGTGACGGCAGCAGCAACATCGATCACAATTTTTTGTCATCATCATCACCATCATCACCCATTATCCATCATAATTTCCGCAGCGACGTCACGCAAACTGCAAGGGAGTTTGCACGTTTTCTTGCTAACGACAACCGACCCATCAAGCAATACCTCAAGAATGTGTACCATTGCTTCCAACTGAAGGCGAACAGATCGGAACAACGCAGACGTCCAGAAATAAACACCGAATTCGAGACACAAACATTGCACCCCCTGGTTTTGTTGACATTCCCCGAAGACGCTGGTGGAACCATCACCTGTGTCAGAACATCAACAGACCATTGCGCACATCTCATTCATAAATCACGATTTACGTGCCATGAACAAGAACCATTGCCGAAACGTCACCTGTGATTATTTTTTTCTTGTAAGGCCACACAACACAGTGTTTTTGGCAAATGTGTTTTCTTGTTAATAGTGATTGTGCCCATCTGCCAAAGCAGCAGCAGCGTCATTGAATAATTTGTAATGAATTGGTCTGTCGTGGGTTACGTAAAGGACTTAATTGACTGAAGTGAGAAGGCTGTCGAGGTCTGAATGGGCGCACTCGCACATTTACCGTTACAGGGGAGGATAAGGGTGAGGATCCAGAAGCTTCTGAGGAGGTGAACGTCAAGAAATCCAGAAGCGCCGTCAAGGTGGGTGCCAACGCGTCTGCACATCCGACTGTGATAAACCCATTCTCTAAATAACGTGAGTGAGACTTTGATTCCACGAGGGAGTTTAGACAAATTAATTTATGTAAAGTTAAGAGAACTTTTAAGGGTGGTCCGGGACCACTGTTACACCGATTGTTAATGTTGAAGAACGTAGGCCTGTAAATAATAAAGTAACATTATTATTGAACAACTATTAAATTACAATGATCGCGTTAAAAACAACAATAATAAGTATAATAAACGTTAAGAGCATATTTACCACAGACCAGCTGAAGCGTACAGAACGATGATCTCACGGTGGCCATGTTTTCTCGGGTTGTCTTCCTCGCAGCCGATTGGCTGGTGCAGTGGCAGTGATGACGCCATCCCTAGCAGCCACTGCTGTGCCCCCAGATTTACTGTCTCACTAGGACTTGCACATATTTCCTTTTACGTAAAAAAAAGTTTCGATTTAAAGCTTTCGCGACTGCAGGGATTCATGTTTTTGGTTCTTTTGGTAAAGTCACATGGAAGGGAAAAAATAAACTAATAATAAAATATATTCTTTACCGCATCACAGCCTGCCGGATTTTAACGAGCATTCTCTGTTAAATGTCTTGCAAGGTTGATGACCTCAATTCCATTCCTAATGGTGAAACAGGGAGGCAGGGCAGTCAGATCTTGGGCTGATGGTCGCCTCACAAGGAAGTTAGATGATTAAACTAATCATGGTATATATATTCTTGGTTCTTTCGGTAAAGTCACGTAGAAGGGAAATGATCGAATAATACAAATAAAACAATAAAATTATCACGACGTTTCGATTGCTTGTGTTGCAATCGAAACGTCGTGATAATTTCCTTGTTTTATTTGTATTATTTTATTATTTCCCCTCTACGTGGTGACTTTACCGAAAGAACCAAGAATATGGATCCCTGCAGTCACGAAAGCTTTAAATCGAAATTTAATCATGGTATCTTTGTCTATGTGTTGATTTCTGTGTGTGTGTTTAGTTGCCACGCATCGACCTGGATCAGTATTCCGTCTTGCCTATGGAAAATGAAGATGATAGCGGTGGTGAAGACGAGGTGGAAAAGGCGGATGAGGAAGGAGATGACTTGGATTTGTACTCGGAGGATGATGAAATATCTCAACAAGGTGAGAGTGACTTCAAGGTAGACTGACAATTCTCGTGTGTCAGAAGCTGCAGTAATTTGAGTAATCGATTAATTATTTAAAGCAGCGAGCGGTCCCCAAACCTTTTTGGCACCAGGGACTGGTTTCGTGGAAGACAATTTTTTCACGGACTTTGGGGGGTGGTTCATCATTGGGTCTTTCCCCTTTTCAAAGAAGCTCTCTATAATTAAATAATCGGTGGGCCACGTGCGGACTCACCGCGCACCTCCTGCTGTGCGGCCCGTTTCCTAACAGGCCACGGACCGGTACCGGTCCGTGGCCCGGGGGTTTCAGGACCTCTAATTTAAAGGCTCATTCCGATCAATAGGGACCAGGGTGTTGACGATGGCCAACATCTTGTCACTGCAAGGTCTTTTTTTGCAGTGACAGGAGTGCCTGCCGCGTGTGTAATTATTACGATCGTCACGCTTGCTTACCCGGGAAACCTCACCAAGTCGCAAGACTTGGCGAGGCCGTCTCTCCTTGGAATGACGCATCGCGATCTCTGCGGGGTTTGCTGTAAAGCAGACAGCGTGTCGTATTTTACGCTTGGTACAGTGTCGTGGGTATTTGACGGTTCGTACGCCCGCGGCATTAACCGGGGACGGCCGCCAGCCTCGACCCGCGACGAGCGGCGAAGGCGCTGCCGCCGTACCGCGTCGCCGTCCCTGCGGCGTCTCAGACAGTCGAAGCGATGACTGCCGCCGTTCGTTTGTTTCTCCAGATCCGAGCCCCAGCTGCGCGGAACCCCTCTACGTGCTGCCCCTCTACTCGCTGCTGGCGGCGGAGCAGCAGGCCAAGGTACGAGGAGCACAGCCGGAACAGCACGAAGCTCGCTTTGAACGTCTCCCCTCCCCGCCCCTCCCCCCCCCATAACAGCAACACCGGAAAGTCAACGAAGCCGCGTTTCTAAGCCTAGCATCGGACTACCGGTCCCCCCCCCATGAGAAGCCATGAATCGAAGTAAATTATAGAATTTAAGGCGATGATGGCGCTACTCATATATGTTGTAAATATGTTGAACTTCTTTCGCGCCATACGTCTACCAACCGTGCTAATCGGAGGTGCGGGGTGGTAATCGGAGAAGCCTTACTTACCACCCTTACTACTATCTACTGATGCACGCTGATGATGATGCTGCTGATGCTGTTGATGCTGCTGATGCTGTTGAGGATGATGTTTCTTCGGTTGCCCCCCCCCACCTCCGCGTAGGTGTTCTGCCCTCCACCCGCCGGCTCCCGCCTCTGCGTCGTCGCCACCAACGTCGCGGAGACGTCGCTCACGCTGCCGGACGTGCGCTACGTCGTCGACACGGGCCGCGTCAAGCGCCGCCACCACGACGTCGTCACCGGCGTCAGCTCATTCCGCGTCGCCTGGGTCTCGCAGGCCTCGGCCAACCAGCGGGCCGGACGCGCGGGCCGCACGCAGGCCGGCCACTGCTACAGGTGACGCACGGCGGGCCCGCCCCCGCCTCGTCCTGCGCGCGTGTAAACGCTCGTCGGTTGGCTGGTTGGCCGGCTGACAACATCTTAACCCTTTGCCGTTCCGATGACGTACGTGTACGTAATCGTGTAAGTCATCGTTTTTGTTTTTTCTCCCGATTCCCTTTCGATCCCGTACGTTTACCTCGTCGGAACGGAGTCGATTCCCAACGGAATTGAAAGTTAAAGGCCACGCGGGAATACGTGTGGCACAGTTTTGGCGCCAGCTATCGTAGAGTGTGGTCGTGTCGCTCCAGTTTCTCAGCTGTGAGGACAGTACAGTGTCTTTTAAAAACAGCGGCGCTGCGCCTCTCCAAATAAAATGAACGCTGAACCGCTCGAGCGATTCCGAGATTCAGCGGTGGACGGGACCCACCCTGCATCTTGCAGACGTCTCGGAGTGGGAAAGGGTTCATAATGTAGAGGACTGCAGAGCTTGGGCAAGTGTTAGCAGCGCAGGCTCGCTGCCCGTGGTTCCCCTGCGATTGTGAGATTGTGCAATTTGCACAGACAGCGCAGCACAGAACTACTCAACGTTTACGTAACATAAACACCGCACACGAAGGATCGGGGTGAGCACATGTCAGCGCCGGACAATACTCTATCCACGTGATGGGCCAATTGATAGGTTCAGTGTCACGCCGTGACCCTGCGATTTCGGGAGCCAAGCTGGGTTGAGCATGGATCGTGTTTGGGTCGGTTGCCAACGTCAATGGCGCCTCGCTGTAGGCTGCTGTGCGGGTGGCTCTGTTGGAGCCAGCGGAAGGTGTTACAGCAACATCCACCGTAGTATCTGTTAATCTGCGCTGCCAAAGACCTGCGACCCTCCTTCAACGACCCGCCACCGACCATTGTGGTTCACCACAATGGTCAGTGGAGAGGGGGGCTCATCCATCAGGGAAATTGTTTAACGTAAGGGCTGTATAAGTACACGTGGACAATTTGCCTTTACCAGTGTTCACTAATTTTCAGAGGGGGCAGGGGGGGGGAGGCACTTTCGCCGATAAGACATCGTCAGTGTGAGGGCCGCCACGTATTTCAAACTATTGCTGAGTTTGACAGCAGCAGCAGTAGCACGATTATGATGATGATGATGGGGGTGTGTTCACATCTGTGTTTTGTCGGGGGCCGCACGTCAGGGGCCGCATTAAAGGCCACCAGTGGCCCCGCGGGCCTTGCGATGAAGAGCACCGGCCTTTACTCGACTGAATGTGATGTTGATGAAACTTGGAAAAGTCAAAACTAGTCCATGGTTTGCATCGTTTAAATAAATACCGCTGGATGACATTTATTTAGAAGGCCTAATTGCAGACGAGCCTAAACGCTACGATGTTTTACCAATGAAACAGATGCCGCCTCTGTTAATTACTCGCGCAGAAGCACAGCGATTTTGTTACAATTTATTTTGCTACGCTGCTATGAGTTATTTCTTTAGAACTGCTTTTAGTTTCTTCTTCTTCTTCCCCCACACCTCCGATTAGCACGGTTGGCTACATACGATGTGAAAGAAGTTCAACATACATACATACATACACACCGAGAGGGCTATGGGAGAGTGGTTTACTCGACGGGCCATAGTTGTGTGGTAGACGAGAACCTTGAAGCGGTGGCCCCACCTGTTGCGTGTTTTCACGTCACCTTAAACACAAGGTGCGCCGTGCGTCGAGGCGACATGGATCCACACGTGATCAGTACAAACTCGAGTACGTACGTGCGCATGTTGAACACGTTGCGCGCCGTATGTAGCCGAGTGCGCTAACCGGAGGCGCGAGTGCTTCGGGTGGGTGGAGGGTTACGACACATTTATAAATAACGCGATCTAACCCAAAAACCTTTGTGCTTCTTGAACGTTGAAGCCGCGCGCGCACGCTGCAAGCTCGGCGGCGGTTGTGAAGACCGTGCTGCCTTCACTCTCTGTGCGGAACCTCCAGGCTCTACAGCTCGGCGGTCTTCTCTGACCTGGAGGTGTTCTCTCCGCCCGAAATCACCACACGGCCCGTGGAAGACCTGGTGCTGCAGATGAAGGCGCTCAACATTGACCGGGTGAGACGAAGCCTCTGCAAAAGGTTTTTTTTTATTTCAGAAACTTGCTCCGTCGCTTCAGCCGCCGCGTCGGGAGATCAAACGGAACCGAGCTGGACGACCCTCCATCGATGTGCCATGGAGATGGGCCATCCATTTTAAGGCGACACACGCACACACACACTGTTATTGACGGCGGGTGTTTTGAGCGTCTCGTTGTGCTCGCGCACCGCTGCCCAACGCAGCGGTGGCGGCGGCGGCAGCAGCAGCATCGCCAAACGCTCTTCGTGAAAGGGAATCGCCCGTCTATGGGGAAAACATTAGCTCGGGTCAAAATCGACGCACGGTGCTGTCGTGGGAGGGAAAGAGTTTCGCGTGATGCCCTCTGGCCAGGCTGCGTGGGCGAGTCGACCCCAGAACATCGAGGATCGCCACTGGCTTGAGACTCTCGGCAGGCTTCAGATTTGTGTACGCTCGTTGTAAATCGGTCTTATTGTCATCAACACGATTGTCGTCATACACTAGCGTGAAATTGGACACGGCCGCGCCTTCTTGCGCGTGCCCCGCTGTGCGTTCTGCGCGTGCAGGTGACGAATTTCCCGTTCCCAACTCCTCCGGATCCCAGCGTGCTGCTCGCTGCGGAGGAGTCTCTCCGGCTGCTGGGAGCTCTGGAGGAGTCGACAACTCGATCTCTTAAAGATGGCGGCAGCTTGTACGTAGGGGGCAGCGGTTAGCGCGTCGCGCTACTAATCCGGCATCCCGCGTTTCATTCCCGCTCGTGGCCTTCAACGGCAGTGATAATTTTATCTGAACCGGCCCTGGGCCCCCTCTCTAGGTCGACTCGGCCTCAAATGAGTACCTTGTGCAATGTCTAAACATCACCGCGGAGGAGACAAAGGCGCTCTGTCGTGTGCCGTGCCGGCCGTCGTAGGTGCTACTCGCTAACAGCGCTTGCCCCAACAGTCTGTTCAGACTATAGGGGGATCTTTGTCTTTTGTTACTGTCAAACCATCATGAGGACGAAGATCCAGGTTAGTCGGTCACTGGGAAATCCTGCCCGAACACAAACATGAACGATGACCCCATGGTGTTGGCTGCTGAGTAAACCTTGGTGTTACTTGAACCCAGTGTACTCGTCTAAATTAAACTATTTCTATACCTCTTTTTCAGAAGCGACCTGACCATTAATTATAGCTCAACGAAGTGGCTTATCCCATGGAAAAATGTATAGCAGCAAGTACTGTAAACGCATGTTGAGTCCAAATGTGGAGGGACAAACCGGAGGAGCCGGGAGAAAAATCCACACGGCCACGAGGACAACATGCAAACTATACAGGCGTCAGGGTCGGGATCGAACACACAATATGCTGTAATACCAGGCAAGGTAGTTCACATGTATGTATGTTTAACTTATGTCGCACCATGCGTAGCCAAGTTCTAAATGCATGCGTTTTCAATGTAGATAATGTAAAAGTGCATAGCTGCAGTGGCTTCCTAATATCGGAAGGAAGAGCGTTCCAGACGGCCGCAGAAGCGCATCTGAAAGCGCCACACGATGCGGTGACCACCGCCCTTGTCCGACGGCCGAGCTAAAAGCCACTGCTGCTGCTGCTGCTGCGAGGATGCCCGGAGTTTGCGTGGCGATGGTTTGTGCTCGCACCTCCCCACCGAGAGCACGAAGGCCCCGTCGCGATGGTGTTCTTGTTGCCGTCGTTGGTGCTGTTGGCGCGCAGGGGTTTCCGCGGGGTGACGCACAAGCGCATCACCCCGCTCGGCCGCGTCATGGCCACTCTGCCCGTGGCGCCGCGCTTCGCCAAGCTGCTGGCGCTGTCCCCGCAGCACGGCCTCGCGGAGTACGCCATCACGCTGGTGGCGGGGCTCACCGTCCGCGAGATGTTCGTCACGAGGTGCGCGCCGAGCAACTTGTCTGCCCTGTCTCCACGGGGGACATCCTCTCTGGAACGTGTCCCATTGTGTGTGTGATTGTGTGTGGCACCTGCTGGGTCCGCCCCGTGACCTCCTGCCAGCGGGCGTTCGGCACTTCACGTGGTGGCCTCAAGGCGCACATGGCCTGGCACAAGCGTCGTGGCGACGTCGCCGACGCTTATTGGCGAATGGCGGTTGTTGTTGTGATTGTGTGTGTGATTGTGTGTGTGTGTGTGTGATTGTGCCTTTTTTGTCTTTGTGTGCGTGTGTGAGTTTGCGAGTATGTGATTGTGCGTGTGTGATTGTGTGCGAGATTGAGGGGAGCGATAGTGCAGCGGTTAGCTCGCCGTGCTATGAACCCGGCGACCGGAGTTCGGTTCCCGCTCACGGCCAACACCAACAACAGTGACGACCATATGAACCGGTCCTGGGCTTCTCCAAGGTCGACTCAGCCTCACATGAGTACACTGGACCGTTGTGTCAACATTGCCACTAGGGAGGCAAAGGCGGTCGGGCGTGGTGCTGGCCACCCACCCCCTCGTGTACCGTTCTGGCCTTCATAGGTGCTCGCTAACAGCACTTGCCCCAACAGTCTGTTCGTGCGATAATGGAGATCCTCGCGTGATTGTGCGTGCGTGTAGGGAGGCCGATGCGGAGGGTGGCGCGCGCCCCTGCTCCGCCCACACGCGCCGCGTGTGGGCCGGCCACGGGCAGTCCCTGCAACTCGGGGATCTCATGGTGATGCTGAGTAAGCGCTGCCCCTTGCCGATCCGCGTGAATCGTACACACACACACGTACGGTGCGAAAGAAGTTCAACTTGCATGCAAACAAATATAAAGATCTCCCGTATAGCCTGCCCAGACTGTTGGGGCAAGTGCTGTTGACAAGTAGAACCTATGAAGGTCGGCACGGCACACCAGAGGGGGTGGGTGACCAATTTTACGCTCCGCAGCCTTTGTCTCCCCAGTGGTGATGTTTACACACCGCACACGAGTACCCCCCCGTGTGCGGTGTGTAAACATCAGCACTGGAAAGATAAAGGCGGCCGGGAGTGGCCCTGGCAACACCACCATCTCGTGAGCCGTGCCGGCCTTCATAGCTGCTACTCGCTAACAGCACTTGGCCCAACAGTTTGCATAGGCTACACGGGGGATCTTTGTCATCGTGTGAAACTGTACATGTGGCGTGTGTGTGTGTGTGTGTGCAGGTGCGGTTGGTGCGTGCGAGTTCGCAGGCTGCACACCCGAGTTCTGTGCAGAACACGGCCTTCGCCTCAAGGCAATGCGAGAGATCAGACGCCTAAGAGGGCAGCTCACCAATTCCGGTAGGCCTTGATCAGCACGTACTGCCTTACAAGTACATGACAGCCAACGCCACCAAGATTAGAGATTAGCGTGGTGGGCTACGTACGGTGAGAAAGAAGTTCAGCATACATACATACACGAGGTCACGGTAGGAAGAGAGAACATTGAGGCGGTGTAATGTGTATAATATTTCACGGACATAAGTGACTGTGATTCTGCGGTGTCGCTTGAAAGCCAGCCGAGAGCTGGTGGCAGGGCCTTTAAGTGCCTCTTTCAAGCGGGTGATGATTGAACGCTGCTGTTGCGAACGTGGCAGTGGGACGACGACGATGATTGATGATGATGGTGATGGCGGCCGTGTTGCAGTAGGAGGGGGCTGCCACGGAGAAACCACGCCGGGCAGTGACGGCCCTGCTGCTTGGTGTGGAGAGGAGGAGGTTGTCAGTAGCGCCGCTACAGAGGGATCAACCTTGAGCTGTAGTGCAGGGTGAACGGAGCGAAGACAGATGCGGTGGACGTCCAAAGATAGAGGCGGGGGCGATGTTGTGTATCCGACCCTGCTGGTTGATGGTCCTTTGGCAGTTGTGTCCATGCCGAGCGGAGGCTGTGGTCGGAGCGAGCAACCGCAGTGCCGATGCTTCACGCGTTGTCTGTTGCCGGCCGCGCGCTCCGCTGCAGTGAACTCGGTGTGCCCGGGGACGAACGCGGTGATGGACCCTCGCATGCGGCCGCCCACCGAGGCGCAGGTGAAGACGCTGCGGCAGCTCGTGCTCGCCGCGTCCGGGGAGCGCCTGGCACGCAGGGCCCCGAGCGCGGCACAGGCGGGCGGAGGAGAGGGCAAGGGCAGACACGCGTACAGGGTACGGCACGCACGGCACGCACGGCACGCACGGCACGCGTTGAACACGTACGGGGTAGCGCACGCAGTCTTGCCGTCCCGCTCATTGGTTGTCCGACGATTAGGGTTGCCACGATAGATTTTATTTCTTCATCGTCATGCGATATGAAGCTTCGCAATCAATAAATCAATACGTTCATGTCTGGAAAGCTCAATGCCCAAAAGATGGCAGAGCCGCCGTAAAAATGTTATCAGAATTAATAACGAATAAAGGAATAGGTTTTACCCTTTTAACTGGCACAAAAACTGACACCTTTATTCAAGGCATCATGTTTGCAATAACCACAACACAAGCAGTCAAAATACAAACAAAAAAGACAACTGATAATGATATTGGCACTGTTCTTGAATTTGATTGGTCCACACCCGAGACAGCTTTTCTTAGAGCCTAGTCTCCACTGGTGTTGGACCAGAAGACGCCAAAAAATAATAACGAATAAGTTTGAAGAGATATCAACGGCGTCGACTTAAATGAAAGCTCATTATTGAAATCTGTGATTCGTAACTTTGCAATTGTATTTAGCATTGATATAGTCGTGGTCTTGTCCCCTGATATATGTACTTCGAGTAAGAATATATCGCTTCAAAGTTATTCAGCTGCGATTCACTCAGCATAAGCCTTCTAGTCATTGCCACTTTACAATCTACAACGCACACAATGTGAGCAGGGTTTCCTTGTGAACAGTGCAAATTACTCATTTTGGATTGAACGCAGCAGCAGCAGCAGCATCGTCGCCGACTGCGAATACGTGGCAGGGCCCTCGTTGAGGCATTCCTGGGTAAACGATCGTAATAAAAAACGTAATAACAATCTTGATTTAAAGCTTTCGTGACTGCAGGGATTCATATTCTTGGTTCTTTCGGTAAAGTCACCACGTAGAAGGGAAACAATAAAAATTTAAAAAATATATATATAAAAAACAATAAAATTCTCACGACTTTTCGACCGCAACACAAGCGAACATTTTTTTTATTTTATTGTTTCCCTTCTACGTGACTTTACCGAAAGAACCAAGAATATGTAATAACAAAACGCAAAAACTCGCTGGCGGTGTGCCTCGTACGCTGGTGAGTGTTGTGCCATTTGCCGGCTTCCATGCGGTGCGTGTCCGGGTGCAGACCGCGTACCTGGAGGACTCGGTTTACATCCACCCTAGCTCGGTGCTCTGCAAGAAACTGCCGGAGTACGTGGTGTACCAGGAGCTGCTGGAGACATCTCGCATGTACATGAACGGTACGCTCAAGCACCCACAAACACAAAGATCCCCCCCTGCGTAGCCTTAACGGACACCTATGAAGGCCCGCACGGCAAACGAGCGTGTGGGTGACGATGTTTACACACCGCGCCAGATACTCGGGCCTGAGACAACCGAGGGGGAGGTCCAGGCCCGGTTTAGATCGTGACTGATGTTGGCCGTGAGCGTGCATTAAACTCTGGTCGCTCAATTCGTAGTGCAGTGCACTAACCACTGCGCCACCGCTCATCACACACGCGCACTGACGCGTTCGCGCACGCACTCACGTGGCCACACCACTGCCTCCTCCTCCTCGATTCCACATTCCCAACGCGCGCTCTGTAGATTCTCTGATGCAATTAACTCAGTCCCAGTTGTATGTACAGTAACACCATGGATTGCGAGCATAATTCGTTCCGGAAACGTGTTTGTAATCCAAAGCACTCGTATATCAAAGCACTCGTATATCAATTGTGATCACGTGACGCTCGGCAAAGCGTATACGTACTTACTCGTATTGCAGGACATTCGCTCGTTTATCAAATTTATATTTATTTACAAATTTTGCTCATCTTGCAAAACACTCACAGACCAAAGTTACTCGCACAATCCAAGGTTTTACTGCATGTATGTATGTTGAACTTCTTTCACACCGTACGTTTTTGGATTCCATGTGTAAACAACAATACACAAGCATTGTAATGTGTGAAGCAGCGGCGGTACATCCATTAGCGTGCTGCGTGGTTTGCCCAGCGATCTGAGCGATTTCCTGCCATGACTGACGTGTGATGAGTGACGTCTGTTCCCATCCTGGGCTCCCTCTTCACCAACCCGCACTGAGTATCGTGGTGAAGTATGGACATACAAACAACTTTAGAGGCTCACTGCTGCATAATCGCTTTCCTCAAAGGACTTCATTTAGTCTTTTAATGTTGTAAATGCTGACGATGGAACGTGCCGTGATGCTCCACGTGACCTCCCTCTCACTGCTGCTGCCCTCGTGACCTGGCTGCCGCACTCTGCAGGGGTGACGGCGGTGGAACTCGAGTGGATCCCGGTGCAGCTGCCCCAGATGTGCTGCTACGGCGAGCCCCTGGCGGAGCCTCCGGCACGGATGAGCGAGGGGAGAGTTCGCTGCCACCGCTCCAGCACCCTCGGTGAGAGCGACGCTGCTTGACGTCAACGGCACCTGGGGGGGCGGGGGGAGTCGGGTCGGGTGGCTCAGAGGTCAGAGGGCTGAGCTGGAACCACTGAGATCCTGGGTTTGGATTCGGGATTCGGCCCGCCGTGATTAAACCGGGTTCTCAAGTATGGAAGCGATGCACGTCTCTCCCTTGTTTGAAGTGGGGAATCGCTGAACTGGTCATCTATTAAAATGCGGGTCAAAACGCCTTTCCCCGTGAATGAAGATTGGTGTGCCATGTTCACTCAGTTGGGATCGCAAACAGCATTGTGGACTACATATCTATGATGAAATGAATAAGGAGACAATATGCTTCCTTCCCGTATTTGTGCACACAAGCCGTCGACCACAGTGGTTCAAGCAAGCCTGACTGCCGACGAGACACTGAATGTCAAAACCAGTCCAGGGTTTGCATGTGTTGAGCTAATGCTGCTTAAATTGTACACTCCCGAAAGCTCGTATAGCTGATGGGATGTAAAAAAAAAACCAGTCAGCTTCTTTCTTCACTGACATTCCAAACAACGACGCTCGCGTTTGATTTTGTGTTGCACTGCTCAATTGAGATTACGCGGCTAAATCGTCGCTCCCTACGGGGCAGACAAATGCCGCCCGATTTTTGGACCCGGTGCCGAGTCGACCGGTGCCATGGACGAGCAGCTGCCACCCGGGGGGGGGGGGGGGTGCCCTTGCACAATCCCTGAGGTGTGATGCACGGCCCACTACGGGCAAAGCGCCCCAAGACGTGCCGGCATAAAGGAGGGCGGCTCTCGCGAAAGCAAATCTCATATAGATGTACGTAGCACCTGGTTCCAAGGCGCTTTACGGCAATTATACAAATGTCCGTAAGGTGATGGTGGTTGAGATAAAGAGTGGGGTTATTATTGAAAGTGATGGTGGTGTCGTTGTGGTGACAAGAGAACAGATGGGAGTGGTTAAGGACGGGTTGGCGGTCGGCCTGGTCATAGCTGAGGGGAGGAGGGCAGAAGAGAGGAGAGATGTTAACCTCGCCTGGTATGCAGGAAGTTGTGGGTTCGATTCCGACCCTGACGCCTGCTGTATATTTGGAGTTTGCGTGTCTCTCTCTCATCATCATCACGGTGGCTAGGAGATGTTAACTACCTCGCCTGGTACACAGGAGTACGTGGGTTCGATTCCGACCCTGACGCCTGCTGCTGTATATTTGGAGTTTGTATGTTTTCTCCGTGGTCACGTGGATTTTAATTTTCTCCGGGTCTTCCCGTTTTTCCATCCACTTTTATAATCAACATCACGCGTTCAGTATTTGGCTGCTATAAATGCCCACACAATAAGCCACTTCGTTGAGCTATCATTTGTGGCCAGATCACTTTTGAAAAAGAGCTACATAGCTCAGTGGGCCTTACCTGGTGAAATAAAAGGTTTAGTTTAGCATAAAGGTTTAGTTGAGTAGCAGCAGGATCTATCGATCGATTGAATGCATGAGCCTGTACAGCTGTGTTCATGCGTGCGTGTTCTCATTCACACTCTGCTGTGTGCTCTAGCACGGCTGGGCTGGGATTTGCCTCCAGTGGAGGTGGACTATCCCGCTGGGTTGATGCGCTACAAACTGTTTGCCCAGTTTCTGCTGGGTGGCCAGGTAAGCACGACCAACACACGTTACCCAGCGGTGGACTGAGACCTTCGTATTAACAACAGGAAGCAATTCTCATCGGACAGCAGTGAACCCCCTCGAAGCCACATACGATTGAAGGCAGGATCCTTCCGGTTTTTGGGGATGTCCCGCAGATTGCAATTAATGAATGAATGCATACTCGGGTGTAATTGCATTAACCTGTTATATCTAACACGTTCAATTAGCACTCCATGAGAAATTATTTTGTATTTATTTTTTTAATAAGACTTGAAACATCACGACTGTACGTACGATCCGAGTGATAATGGTCATGGTGAAGATCATCAAGACGATGATGATGGTGGCCGTGATGATGGCGTTGATATGATGGACGATGGTGATAATGACGACGGTGATGTTGTTGACGATGGTGATGTTGATGATGGCAATGACAATGGTTGATGGCGACGGTGATGGTGACGACGTGACGATGTGCGTTCACAGGTGGTACCAAAACTGGCTGAGTTCACCCCACTGCTTCTCTCTCCTCCCACCACCATGTGCAAGACTTGGGCCAAGTACGCTCTGCCTTGCCTGCACTCTCCACTCGGGCTGCGTGCCAAACTCATTACCACAGCAATATTATATTCAAGACTGGGTGACGCACACCATCATCCTTTCCGGGGTCAATAGAATTAATTCAACTCTGCGAGTGAATTAAACGGGTTGTCCTGTGGCCTGTCCGTTGTTCGCACACCGCGTGCTATTAACAAGGTGACCCGGGTTTTTTTTCCCCATTCGTCGCCGATAAAAGCAGTGATATGTGGTATCCGAGACGGCTCTGGGTCTCCACTAGGTCGGCCCAGTCTTAAATGGTTACCTGGTGCAGTGTGGATAAATCGGCGATGGGGAGACGGAGGCGGTCGACCACAGTATGCCGACCACACCACTCCGTCGTGTGCCGTGCCTACTCTTTAGATTCTTGCTGGGAGCCCTTGCCCCACAACATGGTAACCTGCGTGTGGCTACATGAGCAATGGTGTGTGGTTTATAAACGGTAGTAGGGGAGCGGTAGTGTAGTGATTAACGCACTGCGCTACGAACGCTCACAATCAGTAACTGGAAAACATTTGCACCGGTCCTGGGCCTCCCCTAGATCAACTCAGCCTTAAATACGTGGTGTAGAAATATCAGCATTGGTGAGACAGCGGCGGCCGGGTGCGATGCTGGCCACCCACCCCCCCCCCCCCCCCCCCCCCGTGTGCCATCCAGGTGGCCCTCAATAGACACTCGCTAACAGCTCTTGATCCAACAGTTTTTTTTTAAAGGCTACATGGGGGATCTCTGTCTCTTTGTCTCGCAGTTTACAGCCTCGCACACAGGCCCTGCTGCAGGCGTTGGTGGCAGAGAAGGTCGACTGTCGCGACGTTCTGCTCTCCGTGTGGCAGCGCTCGCCCAAGTGTGAGTCGACACGTGCTGTGTGGTACCCTGTACACGTGCTGTGTGGTACCCTGTACACGTGCTGTGTGCTAGTCTGTACACGTGCTGTGTGGTAGTCTGTACGCGTGCTGTGTGGTAGTCTGTACACGTGCTGTGTGGTAGCCTGTACACGTGCTGTGTGGTAGTCTGTACACGTGCTGTGTGGTACCCTGTACACGTGCTGTGTGGTAGTCTGTACACGTGCTGTGTGGTAGTCTGTACGCGTGCTGTGTGGTAGTCTGTACGCGTGCTGTGTGGTAGTCTGTACGCGTGCTGTGTGGTAGTCTGTACACGTGCTGTGTGGTAGCCTGTACACGTGCTGTGTGGTAGCCTGTACACGTGCTGTGTGGTACCCTGTACACGTGCTGTGTGGTACCCTGTACACGTGCTGTGTGGTACCCTGTACACGTGCTGTGTGGTAGTCTGTACACGTGCTGTGTGGTACCCTGTACACGTGCTGTGTGGTACCCTGTACACGTGCTGTGTGGTAGCCTGTACACGTGCTGTGTGGTACCCTGTACACGTGCTGTGTGGTAGTCTGTACACATGCTGTGTGGTAGTCTGTACACGTGCTGTGTGGTACCCTGTACACGTGCTGTATGGTAGTCTGTACGCGTGCTGTGTGGTAGTCTGTAAACGTGCTGTGTGGTACCCTGTACACGTGCTGTGTGGTAGTCTGTACACGTGCTGTGTGGTACCCTGTACACGTGCTATGTGGTACCCTGTACGCGTGCTGTGTGGTAGCCTGTACGTGTGCTGTGTGGTAGTCTGTACGTGTGCTGTGTGGTAGTCTGTACACGTGCTGTGTGGTAGTCTGTACACGTGCTGTGTGGTAATCTGTACACGTGCTGTGTGGTAGTCTGTACGTGTGCTGTGTGGTAGTCTGTACGCGTACTGTGTGGTAGTCTGTACGTGTGCTGTGTGGTACCCTGTACACGTGCTGTGTGGTAGTCTGTACGCGTGCTGTGTGGTAGTCTGTACGTGTGCTGTGTGGTACCCTGTACACGTGCTGTGTGGTAGTCTGTACACGTGCTGTGTGGTAGTCTGTACACGTGCTGTGTGGTAGTCTGTACACGTGCTGTGTGGTAGTCTGTACGCGTGCTGTGTGGTAGTCTGTACGTGTGCTGTGTGGTACCCTGTACACGTGCTGTGTGGTAGTCTGTACGCGTGCTGTGTGGTAGTCTGTACGTGTGCTGTGTGGTACCCTGTACACGTGCTGTGTGGTAGTCTGTACGTGTGCTGTGTGGTACCCTGTACGTGTGCTGTGTGGTAGTCTGTACGCGTGCTGTGTGGTAGTCTGTACGCGTGCTGTGTGGTAGCCTGTACGCGTGCCGGCAGTCCGGGCAAGACTCGACACGCCCGTCAATAACACTGCCCTAAAGAGAAAACGTGCACAATTAGTAGACGTTTCGGGCAATGGCCCGTCTTCACAGCTGAGAGACGAGAGAGACACACACAGGGATTGAGCGAATCATAATTGGAGACTGCACTCTACATACTACACCGTGGAGACACGAAACAAAACATTTTAAATCAGTACAACAAAACCATTTGTTGTGTACCGTGCTTCTAAGCTCTCGTGTCTACGCTCTCCACCTTCGGCAACCGCGCACTGACCGGCGTGGTGAAGTATGGTCAAATAACCCCGACGGCTCGCATGGCGTGGGAGGGCCCACACGCAGTGTGGGAAGGCCTTGCACACACGTGTGCGTGTAGAAATTACCTTTAGGATTGTGGCTACGATGTGTTGTTTGATTGCACGCACGCACGCGTGCGTTGCGTTTGTTTGTGCAGTCCTGCAGGCTGAGTACTGTCAGTGGCTTCCCGAGAGCCAGCAGAACGGGCTAGCTCTGTGCTGGCCACCGCTGTGAGAGGCAACGTGCTGCTCCTCCTGCCAAAGCTCAATCAACACAACGGAGGTGGAGGAAGAGGATATCACCAAACTGACCTGTCCGAGGTCACCGTAAAGGCAGTACATTACCATGCCGTGTCATGCCGATTGATGACGATTATGGATTTGGCGGCCCCCACAGCTTAGCTGTTAGCCCCCTTGCAGTCCAAGCGTTTGTTCAATGGCTGTCCATAGCTGGCTTCGACATGCTGATGAGTAAGGCTGTGATTTTATTACGGAGGTCACGGATGTCGTGAATTTTAATTAGGTCCCTAAAATGTTGGGAATGGCTGCAGAAACGCGTGAGACGCTTCCGTCATTTCCTGAAAGACCTCTGCGCGCTGAAAGACACTATGTCCTCTATGCGCTGAAATTACAGCGCACGACGGACGCTTATTTTAAGTTTTTCAACGAAAAAACAATTATACTCTTTTAATTTAAAGTGTTTTTTTTTTAATATATAGATTTCATTGTTATCGCACGCGCGTCTTGCCGAGACCAGACTGGCGCTCCGTCGGCGGCGTGGAGCGGCGGTGAGTCCGGGCCAGGAGCCGCTCATCCACGACGCCTGTGACCACAGGGCGGGTTGTGGTCACGTTGCCCCCCCCCCACCCCCCCTCCGCCCCCCCCCACCCCCACCCCCCACCGGCCGGCGCGCGGAGGTCGGCCGCACGCGTTCCTGGTGGTAGGGAAACCAGCAGAGCAGGGGCCCGTTTTGTAGACGAACATGGCCCGCACTTGGCTGCAGGCGCCAGCTGTTGCATTATTCGGCCGGTTTGGCGATGTCGGCATTTGGGACGTTTCCAAGTTTTGAGAATGTGCGCGTCCGTGTGCCGCAACAGACGTCATTGGCGTGGGTGGGGGTGGCGAATCGTTACCTATGTAGAGGTCTCGGAGGCAGCGCGAGCACGGAGCCCTGCGGTAGGCCGTTGCCTTGACGTTGCCTTGCCGTTTCCACGCGCTCACTTCGCCGTCCCCCGCGACGTGCACCCTGAACCGTGCGCCTCGGAAGTAGCAGTTCATTGGTGTCGGCTGCCCGCTTTGGTAAGACTCGGGGCGTTCTGACCGGACGGCCACTGCGTCAGACTGTGTTGTAGGCAGGCGGCAGTCAGCAGTCCGGTCTGGAAGTACCGCTGCTGTTCGCAGGTGTTTCTGGAAGCTGCTCTCGAGTAACAGTGCCAGGATGTGGTCGCAGGTGCTAGGTGCTCGTCGGTAAATCCGGCCTGCTTGGCATGGAAATGCTCTCCACTTCTGGGGATATGCGCTGGACAATTTAGAGTTTAGGTGGTACACCGCTGCACCTTATTCCATAACATTTTCCATAAATTGTTTTTCCCACACCTCAAGCCATGATTACCGTGACTAAATATTTGCCTTACTGATGAGCCCAAATGAGCATGAAATGTACCCATACCTTCTGCAAGGCCAGTCAGTGGAAAGATTCGGTGACAATTACAGTATTATACATTTTACTTGTATACGGTATTTTTTAAAATGTTTAAATCCAAGTGAGTAATTCGATAAGCTGTGTACTGAGATGACAAGATATTTGAAAAAGAACAGGGGCAGCCCTGTAATGGCTTGCTCACGTTATTGGTGGAAGGGCATCCATTAGAGGGAGCTATGGAGGGCCCCTTTAGATTATTGTTTTGGGCTCTTCCACACTGGCCTAACACCTTGAAAGATGCAGCAGTCCCCACACTTTACCCCACCAGACGTGATCTGCCGATTCGCTGTGGTGCACGCGTTTGAACTTCTCCGAGGATAGAGGCGAGCGGGGGGGGGGGGGATTTTAGAAACTCGCCAAACGTTTCAACTGCTGCACCAGTATGTGAACACTGCCCACGTGCGGTGACTACGTACGATTGCTATCGCTGTCCTTCAGCAAGTCCATGCCTGTGGATATGCCGATAGGATAGAAATAAAATAAGTTCTGTGTTGTCCCTATCTGGTTTGATTGTAAATGCAATCTTTTTATGGGACGAGTGAGAGTTGGTTGGGCCTGGTAAGACACCGGTAATTAATAGTTGAGTGAACCTTAATGTAGATTTGTGTATGGTCAAGCAATGTAAAATTTAATAGCGATGGTTTAGTTCCACCAGTTCTAGACAAAAAAACAATAAAAGTTTACCTATCTCTCTTTTTAAGGTTTGACATTTCTTGATTTATCTTCATTTGTAATCTTCATCACCATAAACTGATCATTGCTATCATCCTCATCCATCATGTATCATTATATCACGTTCTTCATCATTGTTTTTTTAAGAACCACGAATCTGTGCCCAAACCAAGGTTGCCAGCTGTCCGGCTTTGGCATCTTTGGGTAGCAGGGACCGAGACTTTTGGTGAGATTTCATGGCATCGTGTTTAGCTATCTTGCTGCGACTTCCACCTGAAGACGGAAGCTTGTGTTGCCTCCGAAACGTCGTGATTTAATTTAGTTTTCTTTTATTTTAAATTTTATTTTACCTACGTGACTTTACCGAAAAAAAACAAAGAGTATGGCTACTGCACAGTTTTGAAAGACGGAGGCTTATCGAAGAATGTCTGTGGAAAAGGTGGCAATAATACTCAACTCCGTATCATCGCCCAACACGGGCGGCACCTCCGTTGTACCCATGAAGAAATCTGCACGATCCACACAACCCTGCCTCCAAAGCAACACACCTTGAGGACATACTCCGTTAGAACGGTGATCCTCTTTTCCAGGGCTCCGGCAACCAAAATAACAAGATAATTTTTTTTCGAATTCACACTGCATGTGAATATGGAGACGGTGGTCGTTAATAAATAACGTCAAGAAGCAGCCCTTAAAAGAGCCGCATGTTGCCGACCCCTGCGCTATGCTGACCCTACAAGCCAGAGCATATCGGCACCAGCTGCATCAGCAAGGGAAACCGGCTGCAGCAGCTGGTAGATGTTTCCTGCAGGACCACTTGCCGCCAGGGTGGCTACTGCCCCCGCTATTGCTGCGCACCTGGGTCCAGGTGTGTCTCTTTCGTGACATGCCGGGATGGGGGGGGGAGTGCTCGACTCCCACATCGGAAGGTTAAAAATTGTGGCTTCAATGTCAACTATAACTCAGCCCCGGGTAATTTTTGTCAGAAATTTATTAAGTGAACATTACTTGGACACGCATGTTTTAAGAGCGATTTTTTTTCCCTAGATATACCTCAATTTGTTTCATGTCATTTTCAGGAATATTGCATGCATTCGGATGTTGGCCAATTCCAATAACCTTCGTCATGTGGTCAGAGACTGAACTCCCCAGACAACCCCCGTGCATACGAAACGGGCAACAATCTACATCCCCATGCATCCAACCAACACCTGGCAAAGCAGCTTGGTGGTCGCCCATTCAAGTACTAACCGGGCTGTTGAGATCTGAGGCACATTCAGGGCGATTTAGTCAAGTGATTTTAGTCGTAGTTTTTCAGTCCACTTACGTTTGCAACATAGCCACACAAGTTTGTGTGTAAAGATCTATTGTATTGAATCTTGACTAGTCTGCATGTGGGCACGTGTGCCCACTGGCTGAAGAGTACGGAACCGTTTTCTTCTGGTACAATCGCCGCCGGGTGCGCATCAGCCTTGCATCTGTTGCCGTAACCGTGGAATATCCACGGTTGAGTTTTTTTGTTTGTTTCAGCGAGTGGCCAATGGGGGCGGACTGAGCATTCTCTCCGGTTTACAAACCGCAATTTAAATTCAAGACGTCTAAATTGACTCGCGCTTCCATTAGAAATAACGAACCCAACGCAAAGCGGGGTGGATGGCCGGTATATAAACATTTTATTAAACTATGCACAGGAACATTGATCCGCCGCCACACCCGCCGAGCATAACATCACCTTGTACGATTCGACGCGCACCCTGCACAGCGGTAACTGCTTTTTTGTAATTTTTTATGCACTCGGCAAAACCCGCCACAGTTTCTCGTGAAGCTGATGACGCCACCTGCAGTGGACCGCGGCAGTCGTCGTCGTCCTCCTCCTCCTCCTCCTCATGCGCTCGGCGCGTACTGTTTCACCAGACGGTCAAATTCGTTCTCCTGTCGACAACAAAACGCGAAGCCGCATAAGTGAGAGAATACCCAAACAAAAACCATGTCATGCTGTCATGGCTCGCACACTGGCGACCTGCAACCCAGACGGAGGTCACCGGTTCGACCTGCCCATCTAATCAACGGGAAAGTTAAACCGCCACGCCTCTGTCCACCCGGCAGTACTGAAAAGGTACACCGCGGTTAGTCGTTTGGCATGCCGCGTGTCGTGGGGTAAAGCGTGGGTAACTCGCACCTCTGCCAAGATGCGCTGCCAAATCGAGGGACTCTCGAGCTTCAGCTAAAGCAGTCCCCCCCTTTTGCCAGCAGTGGCGTGATGGAGTCATTGCAGAGCTGCTGCAGCTTGACCTGTTATGTACCAAGGCTGTAACGCCCCCGTGCTTTTCTGCACACGTTTCATGCTTTGTCAATGAAGTTAAAAAAACAAGGTGACTTACGCGTACTGCCATAGCACTCCAGTGATGCCGTGGCAACGCGATCGCCGGAGCTTTCAGTGCCATTTTCACGACACCGACATCATTAAGAGCATGTATTCATGTCGGGCAGCCCAGAACACACGGCATAGGTAGGGCATCTATAACAGCAGAGGTTTTTATTTTATTCAATACTTGAATTGCTTGCCAAACAGCGATCATTGCTCAGTTTCACTAACCTTTGCTAAATATTCCTTGACGAAGGGATGTCCTTTGTGTGCATCTTTCAGCTGGGAAAGATAACGGTTTGCCACCTGGGACCAAATAAAATAAAAAACATTTAATCCACTTGGCACAAAATAAAGAGATGATGTCGTCGAGATTGGGGTGTAATGATTGTGGCTGACGATGAGCACGAATGTTGCGGAGGGTGAAGCAATGCCGACGCACCTCTGGAGCCTTGCCCAGGTGCTGAGTCAGCACAGTCAGGTTGATGAGGGTCTCAGGGTTGCTACTGTCCTGTTGAAAAAAAAACCAATACAATTTGTTTCCGTCAATGGTTGAGTGTAAAAAAACAATACAATTTGTTTCCGTCAATGGTTGAGTGTAAAAGAACAATAAAACAGATGGCACATCGTAGATCTCCACCCCCCGTTCTAGGTTAAGCAAACAATGTTTCTATAGTAAAATAAAGTATTAAAGCTTTAGTGACTGCATAAAATTACTCATTGGTTTTTTCGGTAAAGTCACGTATGTAGAAATACAATAAAATTATATTAAAATAAATCGATCACAACGCAAGCGATCTTCATCAGGTGTCAAGAACAAATCATGGAGGTAAGTACAACATCCATGATTTTTCTTGACACCTGATGAAGATCGCTTGTGTTGTGATCGAAACGTCGTGATTGTTTTGTTTTAATATAATTTTATTGTATTTCTACATACGTGACTTTACCGAAAAAACCAATGAGTAATGTTTCTATAGACCCAATACAATGTTTTGAATTATCCATGTTTGTGTTTACCAGGGCCACCCCTCTTCCTCATTACCCTGTACAATTGAGTCAACTGAACTATTGATCGCAATTCCCACGAGGGTTTCCACCTTTGGTTATGAGAACATCTCACAATACTGGAAGAGGTTCTAAATTTACGGAAATGCGTTGTCTTGGGTCGTCTGTTATTATACAACTGGAAAAATACGGAGACCCTTAAATGCCCCCGGAAGAGGACGTGAAGATTGTCCCGGACTGCTACCTTAAAAAAGGGGACGTTCTTGAAAAATGGGGAGAGGTGGCAAACCCAAAATTCCACTTGCATTTTCACTTGGTACACACCAGCCCGGGTTGTGCCGCATGTATGCCATCAGGGCACCGTGTGGTTGGCACCTAACGTTCTGACCCACCCCTACTGGACATCTGTGAAAAAATCGCTTTAGAGCTCATCGGATTCCTCCAGAATAAATAAATGTTCTGACTCCGACCTTCTCCAGTGCCTCCTGCAGCGTGCCCTCCGCATCCTGCCACTTGCCCTGCGCCATCATGGCGGACGCCTGCCCGCACAGCAGCAGTGGGGTAGAGCTGTACTTGTCGGCCAGCTCCTGGAAAATGTAGTACGCGTCCTGCAGTTTCTCCCCTCCCTGCCACACAAAACAAAGATCCTTCGTATCGTCTCTAACAGACTGTTAGAGCAAGAGCTGTTAGTGAGAATCTCATAAGGCCCGGTGCTGTACACTAGTGGGTAGTAGGGGCAGCACCACGCCTGACTGCCTTTGTCTATCCTGTGTTGATGTTTACACACCGCACCAGGTACTCATTAAAGGCTCGGTTGATCTCGGGAAGGCCCATGACCGGTTCAGATATCCGTCACCGATGTTGGCGGGAATCAAACTCGGATCGCCGGGTTCCTAGCGTAGTGCGCTGGCCAATGCACCATCGCTAGTTGCCACACACGCCGCATCACCGCTAGTGATGGGGGTTAAGAGACTAGGGCATCGGACGGTGTGGCACTGTCAGACCTGGCAGTGGGTGTACCACTGCCAGGTCTGACATAGCTGTGTGTGGTGGAGGTGGTTGTGGTGATGGCGGTGGCTTGCCATGGCCAGATGCACCCAGGCCTGCGCCAGCTGGGTAAGAGTGGTGTCCTCATCCATCTCCTGCATCTTCTTTAGCTCCTTCCTATGCGCACGCAGAGATTGGGGCGAGCACGCACACGTTGGCATACGCATTTACACGCTCACGTTAGCATACGCATTTACACGCTCACGTTAGCATACGCATTTACACGCTCACGTTAGCATACGCATTTACACGCTCACGTTAGCATACGCATTTACACGCTCACGTTAGCATACGCATTTACACGCTCACGTTAGCATACGCATTTACACGCTCACGTTAGCATACGCATTTACACGCTCACGTTAGCATACGCATTTACACGCTCACGTTAGCATACGCATTTACACGCTCACGTTAGCATACGCATTTACACGCTCACGTTAGCATACGCATTTACACGCTCACGTTAGCATACGCATTTACACGCTCACGTTAGCATACGCATTTACACGCTCACGTTAGCATACGCATTTACACGCTCACGTTAGCATACGCATTTACACGCTCACGTTAGCATACGCATTTACACGCTCACGTTAGCATAC